GAACGCTCTGGAGCAAATCCCACTGGCTCGGCAACGGTTTAAGGTTCGCAGCTTCAAGAAAATGAGCACCGCGCCACAGCGGGAGCGATTCGACCACGCGAAACTCCGCAGAGGGTCGCGCGAGCGATTTGAAAATCGCAAAAAACCACGAGTTTTCGAGGGCCGACCAGCCGAAAGTCCGCAGAGGGTCGCGCGGACGATTTGAAAATCGCAAAAAACAACGAGTTTTCGAAGGTCGACCGGCCCAAAGTCCGCAGAGGGTCGCACGGGCGTTTTGAAAATCGCAAAAAACCACGAGTTTTTGAAGGTCGGCGGCCCAAAACCACGACAGGGCCACGAAAAACCGCTCGCCAAGTAGAGGCTCCAAAATGACGCCCCTGCCAGCAAACGAGGATCGGGAAAAAAGTTTAGGGTTTATGTGCTGACAGGGCCGACGTTTTGGAGGGCTGAAAAAGCGCTGGACACTAAACACACTTTCCTTTAGGGTTTAAATTAATATAGATAAACAAGTTTAGGGTTTAGGGTTTAGGGTTTAGGGTCAATCCAAATCCCAGGATAGCAAATCACAAGGAGCGCTTCATCCACAGTTTCTAGTTGAAAAACACCACCCACCCAAGCTCCCATTTCATTGGGCAGCCAAATTTTGGCGACAAGTTGGAGCCCGTTGCCGAGCGGCTGAATCGTGTGCTTTTTAATCGCAAACTATCAGCCACAGGATCTTGGATTTGGACGAAAAAAGCTTCGAAAGTAGAGTTCTTGAGTAGAAAGTTTCATAGAAAGAGTTTGAACCAACAAGTTGAGCCGCGCTAGCAGCGCTGAGTTGAGCCGCGCGCTGGTGCTGAGTAAGAAGCACTTCAGAAGCAATCCCAATGGCTTGGCGATGGTTTCGAGCTCGCAGCTAGTTTGCGTTGGCGCAGATCCCACTGGCTTGGCAACGGTTTAGGTCTCGCAGCTTCATCAAAATGAGCGCCGCGCCACAACGAGAGCGATTCGACCACGCGAAACTCCGCAGAGGGTTGCGCGAGCGATTTGAAAATCGCAAAAAAACCACGAGTTTTCGAAGGTCGACCAGCCCGAACTCCGCGGAGGGTCACGCGGGCGAATTGAGAATCGCAAAAAAAAAACGAGTTTTCGAAGAATGAGAAGCGCTTCAGAAGCAACTCCAATGGCTCGGCCACGATTTCGAGCTCGCGCTAAGAACGCTCTGGAGCAAATCCCACTGGCTCGGCGACGGTTTAAGGTTCGCAGCTTCAAGAAAATGAGCGCCGCGCCACAGCGGGAGCGATTCGACCACGCGAAACTCTGCAGAGGGTCGCGCGAGCGAATTGAAAATCGCAAAAAACCACGAGTTTTCAAGGGCCGACCAGCCGAAAGTCCGCAGAGGGTCGCGCGGGCGACTTGAAAATCGCAAAAAACCACGAGTTTTCGAAGGTCGACCAGCCCAAAGTCCGCAGAGGGTCGCACGGGCGACTTGAAAAACGTAAAAAACCACGAGTTTTTGAAGGTCGGCGGCCCAAAACCACGACAGGGCCACGAAAAACCGCTCGCCAAGTAGAGGCTCCAAAATGACGGCCCTGCCAGCAAACGAGGATCGGGAAAAAAGTTTAGGGTTTATGTGCTGACAGGGCCAACGTTTTGGAGGGCTGAAAAAGCGCTGGACACTAAACGCATTTTCCCTTTAGGGTTTAAATTAATATAGATAAACAAGTTTAGGGTTTAGGGTTTAGGGTTTAGGGTTTAGGGCGTTGCCGCGAGCTCGGTCGACATTCACGCGCGGGGGCTTCGCCGCCTCCCATGCAGCCAGGGCTGCAGTAGGGTTGGCGGCGGACTCCAGACGCGACGGCCCAATCATTTGTTTGGCAGCGCTCGGCCAATAGATTGGCGCGAGCTTTTTTTTCCCCTCCCTCCGCGGCGAGCGCGGGAAACCTCCCACAACATTTCCTTTTAGGGTTTTGTGCTAAATTCCCACTTCACGAACGCGCGCGCCGAGCGGCAGCGCCGGAGTCGCTCGCTCCCAGACCCGCCGAGGGTAGAAGAGGAGGCGAGGCGAGCGAAGCGAAGACGAGCGGGGGGGAAACGGGGGTCGGCGCCGGCTCTCCGCGCAGCGTCTAAGAAAGGGGCCGGGCTCAGACCGCGAGCGCTGCCCGCGGGGGGCGAGGAGACAGAAAGCGAATCAGAGCCGAGCGAAGCTGGCAGGGAAGGGCGCAACCCTAAGAGCCCCGCGGTCGTCGCCGAGGCTCGGGAAGGGCCCCCGCCTGGATAAACAAAAACCCCGAGACCGAGGAAGCGACGGCCGCGCCCAGGCCCGAGGCCATCCGGCAGGCCGCCGACCGCGGGGCGCGCGTGCTGCTGACCGCCCCGACCGGGCGACTGGCCGCCACGCTGCGGGAGCGGTTTCCGGGGCTGGAGGTGGACACCGTGCACGGGGCGTTCCTTGCCTACAAGCCTGTCCACGAGGCGCTGGAGGTCATGTGGCCCTACGACCTGATCGTCGTAGAGGAGGTGGGCCAACTGAGCCGGGAGCTTTTCGAGCGGCTCATCACTCAGTGGCGCGCGGCGGAGCGGATCCCGACCCTGGTGTTTGTCGGCGACTTCTACCAGCTGCCCGGCGTGGAGCCGACGACAGCGCTGGACTCGCCGCAGTGGCATCACGTGCAAGTCCAGACGCGGCACCTCCACGAGATGATCCGCTGCAAGTGCCCGATCCTCCGGAAGAAGCTGGAGCTGCTGCGGACCGGCAAGCCCTCGCGGCAGCAGCTGAGAGCCATCTTGACGAGCCGGCTACGTCACGAACGAGATCCCCACGCTGGACGACGTGACCCACATCCTGGCAGAGACGCCGGAGACGACATTCCTCACCGTCAGCCGCGGCGCCAGCACCCGCTTGAACGGCCTCGCCACGCAGGCCCTCTTCGGCGACAGCGCTCCGCTCGCCGTTGTGCCGGCCGACCCCGAGAGCAACGTGGACAACTACGTCCGCGGCAAGCTCGTGGCCGAGACGCCGCTCGAGACGCCCCTCTTCGCGGGCGCGCGGGTGGTCCTGACCAAGAACCTCAACAAGACCGTCGGGTTCGTCAACGGCATGGGCGCCACCGTCCTGGGCATGGACAACGACAACGTGATGGTTCGAACGGACCAGGGCGCTCGCCTGGCGATCCACCCGTGGACGTCGGAGAACCACGTGGTCCACTACCCCCTGCGCTTGGGCTACGCGAGCACGTTGCACAAGGTCCAGGGCGCCACGCTGGCCCACATCACCGTGTGGCTGGACATCCCGAACATGCCCGCCGCCGCGTACGTGGCGCTGAGCCGCGTGGAGTTCGACGCGAACTGGCGCTTCCTCGGCGACCCGGGGGTGCACCACTTCACGCCAGCTCGCTTCCACTGAAGGACCCCAGGAAGGGGGCCGCGGGGCGGGCCAAGAGAGCAAAGTTGCTTGCTAAATGCTGCTTCTCGGCGGAAGGGCGACTCAGAGTTTAGGGGCGACCCCGGAGGGCTAAAACGCGGGGTTTTAGGGTATTGACCTTCTAGGTAAGAGCAGCTAGCGCGAGGCTCATTTGGGTGGTGTATAATGGTGCTTCTAAGCAATCATTTGGCGCCTCCCTCTGCAAATATGAGCCTTCGGAATAAAGCCGCCCGGCGGCGCTAGTTGTGAATATACACCACCCTAGAAATGGGTGGGAAACGGTCTAGGCAGACCGGGTGGGAATTTAGGGTTTAGGGTTTAGGGTTTAGGGTTTAGGGTCCGCCAACACAGCTTGGCGCCCAAGAGAAATTCAAATCGACTCACGAAGATGTAAAGGAGCAAATTTCCTTAGGGGGGGTCGACCCTAAGCTTTTTTAGATAAAGTGGTCTACGGGCTGCCTTGGCTTGATAAAACGGCTGTTGGGGGGCGATAAAATGGTCTACGGGCGATAAAATGGTCTACGGGCTGCCTTAGCTTGTTAAAACGTCTATTGCCCTTGATAAAACGGCCATTGGGGCGTGATAAAAGCAGCCTGTCCCAATTGCTCTTGATGAAATGGCCATTGGCGTTGATAATACGGCCATTCGCTTTGATAGAATGGCCATTGGCCTTGTACCCGAACCTGAACCCTGACCCCCGCCCAAACAACCTGAAGCCTGGCCAGAACCCTGAAGCCTCTGAAGCCTGAACCCTTGTGAACCTTCAGCCTTCAACACCCCCAAACCCCAAACCTTGCGCGGCCAAAGCCTGGCGCCCAATAGCAATTCAATTTGACTCATGAACAGCAGCGAACCACTTTACTCTTCCAAGGGGGGGGTCGGCCCTAAGCCTTTTGACAAACCGGTCTTCGAGGCTCCGCGTGACCCAAAGCGGTCTTACTTCGACCAAGGAGCGGGCCAGCAGGCAGCCTTTTGAGATAAACCGATCTCCGGGCCGTCCCCGCGCCCCGCGCCTCACTCCCCGGAAACTCGCGCCCCGAGACACAAAACCCCGAAACGCAAAACCTCAGAGCCCCGAGCCCCAAAGCCCAACTCCAACCTTCGAAGCCGGGCGCCCCGAAACCTAAACCTTATAAAGCCCGAAACGCCAAACCCGAATCCCGGCCCCCGGCGCCCGAACTCGCCCATTTTTGCCGGCTCTGCGCCCCGCAATCACTTGGTCCTGCACTTTGGGCAGCGCCGCTGGCGATTCGCGCCCACGGCTTGCCTCTCGATCCACTGCTTCCCGCATTTGCGACAAGAGTGGCAATCCTTCGCCCGGGAGCCGCGGGCGGCGCAATTCAAGCACCGCTGGCGGAGCGCTGGCCTCGCCTCGCCCCTTGCCGCGCCTTGCGGAGGCAGGAAAGTTTTCGCAAGTTCGGCAAGCGAACCAGCCCCACTTCGGCTGCTGCCTTGCGCTTTCCCGCAGGGGCCGCAGACAGCCGCCCAAGGCATGGTCGCCATTGCGCTGCTGAATTCGGAAACTGGCATCTCGCTTAAACAAGTCGAGCAGCTCAAACTCTCGACATCTTTCAAACACTTCAAGCAGCGGCGCCTGGCCTCGGAGTTGTCTTGCTGGAGCTGCGCCCGCGGGAAGGCGTCCTCCAACTTCCGAATTTTTGCAGCCGCGCCGCGGCAATCCAAGCGCGCCAGGCCGGAGGGCAGCTTCCGCTTCAGCGTCTTCTGCTCGCCCTTGCCAGGGCCGCAGGCCAGGCAAATCGCAGATTGGTTGGCTCGGACTCGCTCCCACTGACGGTCGGAAAAGTAATCTAGCCTTCGCCTCCCTGAAGGCTTCCCAGTCTACCTCCTCCCCCCGCAGTTGTTTCAGCAGGAGCGCCGGACCCTCCGGCGCCGCGGGTGTAGAGCCAGCGCTTGAAGGGCCTGCCGCAAACGCCCCGCTTTTCTTTCCCCCGCGCCCCCCCCCTCTTTCCCGCACACGCCTCAAGATCAAGACATCCTCCCTGGAGCGGACCCTGCTCGCAGCCACGGTCCCGAAGGTCACGTCGGTCCGCTTGTCCACGTTGAAGTCCACCAGCGCCGCGGGGAGCGTCTTGCCCTGGCTGCCGTGGGCCGTGATCGCGTAGGCCGGGGCCAGCGGCAGCTGCGTCCGGGCGATCTTGAGGACCGGCTTCTTCCGCTTGGCGTCCAGCTTCCAGACCTTGCGGACGGGGTAGACCGGGTAGAGGCCCGGCTCCGGCGCCCCGTCGAGCTGCCAGGTCGCCCCGTCGAACTTCACGTAGATGCAGGTTGGCCGCAGGTCGTTCTCCTTCCAGACCCAGGAGTGGACGCGGCCGGCGCTACCTCGGAGGAGCTTGTCTTCGGAGCGATCGAGGTGGTCGGCCAAGTCCCGACCGCCAAGGGCAGCATGCCGGAGAGGTTCTCGGTGTCCCGGTCGTGATACTGGAGCCACCGGATCCGCGCGGTCTTGTCGCACTCCTGCGCAGGGAAGCCCCCCTCGCGCCCTGACCTTTTTCTCCCGCTTCCCCCCGCACCTGCGTCTGCAGAACCTCGGCGGACGGCGCGTCCAGGGCCACAGACCAGCGGAGCGGCGACTCGGCCGCGCGGCTGTAGTCCTTGGCGCGGCCCTTGTTGATCTGGTATTTGGCGTCGTTGTTGGAGACAATGGCCGCCGCCCACCTGAACTTTTCCCAAGCGCGGGTCGCCCGGCCCCGCAATGACCGGCGCGGGAGTCGCGCTCTGCCGCGGTCAACCGGCAGCCTTCGACGGGCTTGCCGTGGAGGTAGCGCCAGTCGCCGCGCCGCAGCTCGTCCACGACCTTGTTCCACCAGGCGTCCTTGCAGCGCTCCTCCAGCTCCGTCACACCCTGCAGGGCGCCGCCCCACACTAGGTCCGCCAGGATGTCGGGCTCGGCGTCGGCGGCCGCGCTCAGCCGCGGCGGCCGCCGGCTGCTGCTAAGACCAGCCGCAGGAGTTACAGACAAGATATAGAGGTTACACAAATTTAACGGAACTTGCATCTACTTATAACTAACTTCGCAACAGATACAAACAGTTATCCGCAGGTAGTAAGTTCGCAAAAAAAGATACAAAAAGTTAGATAAACTTAGAAAAAGTTATAAAAACTTACAAAAAGTTACAAAAAGTTACAAAAAGTTATCGGAGAGCAAAAATCACACGTTGTGGTCAGCGCATAATTGCACAAAACAAGCAATGCCTAGATACGAAAGCGGTTGAAAAAGAGTGAAATCTCTCAAGGATCCGTCAATGAACGCTGTCAAAACTCTCTAGCCGCTCAAGACTCTCCACGCTGTCGAAACTCTCCGAAACTCTCCAGCCGCACAATTTTTCTAAGACAGCCGTCGTCGAGTCCGTCAAATCAACACTAGCAGGTTGCCATCCACCTCTATCCAATAGGCAGGGCAGAGCCATTTACAGGAGTTCAGCTGACGCCACGCCTTACAACTTGTGGGCTCAAAAGAAGGCGTCGAAAAAATAGCGTGGCTTTTTTGAGCCCAGGCTAAGGCTTAAAACTTGCATCTCTTGAACCACGCGTCGAAAAAATCGCACCTAGACATTCAATCACTTCGCCGCGGCGACGAAATGCTTCAAGCATGATGCATTCTGACGCCGGCAGCAGCGGCTGCCCCGGCTCCCAGAGCCCAAGGGCGCGTTTTTTTGGGGTTGGAGACAAGTGAAGGCAGTCAAAATTTGGGCTGACACATTTTCAGCGCGCCCCGTTTCAGAATTTTCTGAATTTATTCACAAATTTTCTGACCTCAGCAAATGGAAACAAGTACTGGGCAAGCCTCAAATTCATAATGTTTATGAATTTATTCAGAATTTTCTGAATTTATTCAGATTTTTTCTGAACTCAGCAAATGGAAACAAGTACTGGGCAAGCCTCAAATTCAGAATTTTTCTGAATTTATTCAGAATTTTCTGAATTTATTCAGAATTTTTCTGAACTCAGCAAATGGAAGCAAGTACTGGGCAAGCCTCAAATTCAGAATTTTTCTGAATTTATTCAGAATCTTTCTGAATTTATTCAGAATTTTTCTGAATTTATTCAGAATTTTTCTGAATTTATTCAGAATTTTTCTGAACTCAGTAAATGGAAACAAGTACTAGGCAAGCCTCAAATTCAGAATTTTTCTGAATTTATTCAGAATTTTCTGAATTTATTCAGAATTTTTCTGAACTCAGTAAATGGAAACAAGTACTAGGCAAGCCTCAAATTCAGAATTTTTCTGAATTTATTCAGATTTTTTCTGAACTCAGTAAATGGAAACAAGTACTAGGCAAGCCTCAAATTCAGAATTTTTCTGAATTTATTCAGAATTTTCTGAATTTATTAGTACTGTAGACAAGCCAGTATTTCATAACCAATGGATCCCCTCAAACCCTTCTGACCAAAACTCTCTATCTCTCAAATCTCAATCCCTGTAGCTCTCAAATGAGTTGTGCACGTCAAGCTCTCACCACTCTCGATGTCATGCAAATGTTTCTGCTGGAGTTTGGTGTGTTTGAGAGTTTCTGAATTTGAATCTTGAACAACTTCCTTGCTTGCAGATTCACTGACGCTCGAGTCACACACCATGCAAATGTTTCTTGAGAGTTTGGAGAGTTTAAGAGTTTATGAACTTGACTGACCAGCTTCTTGACTTGCAGATTCATCGACGATGCGCGCGGCTCAGATCTAATTTTTGCTCGTAGGGTATCCCGTCCTGGCAAGGCTATGGATCGTACAATTCCGTTGTCTGATGGGACGGTGGATGGGTATAGCCCTCAGTGGCAGAGGCTGATATGGATCAAGATCATCGAGATGGAGAATGCCCTTCGAACAGCTGATAGCAAAATCAAGAAGTTGGAGAAAAAGGTGAAGGTGTTGGTCTACAAGCTGAAAAAGAAGAAATTGCGTTTGAGAGGTGCTAGGCTTGCGCTAGTATGAGCCAGCTTCGATCCAAAAATACTTCATGTGCTTACTTGAGAGTTTCGTTGCTGATTTGAGAGTTTAGTTGCTGACTTGAGAGTTTATAGAGAGTTTGTGAACCTCTCAAGTTTTGTGGCATTGACTGACTCTCAAACCAGCCCTCAAACAAACTCTCAATCAAACTCTCAAACTCTCAAGGCTCTTATCCCACTCTCAACCCTGAAAACTTTCATAAGCTCTCACGACGTTCCAGGTTCTTATCAAACTCTCAAACCCTGAAAACTCTCATAAACTCTCAAACCTTCAGACCACTCTTAAACTCTCAAGACTTTCCAGGTTCTCATGCATCAACTCTTAAACCATGAAAACTCTCATGAGCTCTCAAACCCTCAAAACTCTCCAAGCAAAACCCGCATGATGAGACAAAGGATCCTTTCATTTGAGCCGCTTTTTTGCACTCTCGCCAAGCAACGACGTAAGCCCGCTATAGCACCATGATGGCTCAAACTCTCAACAACTCTCTCACAAAATCGCAGCCGAGGCCAACGCTGGCTGCACCCATTTTGCGCAAAACTCTCATCAGGTTGCTACGAAAACATTGCGACATGCAAAGCACAGTATACGTGGCGATCAACGAAAACCGACCTGAAAAAAACACGAAAAAGTTATAAAAAGTTAGCAAAACTTATCAAGAGTTACACACACTTAACTTGACTTAAAAATCCACTATCGAGACTTATATCTAGATGTGAAAACTTAATAAAAACTTACCATAACTTAAAAACAAATAGCAAGTCCAATAAACGATTATATGTCCCCGCAAGTGTTGGAAATGACTATGCCCGAGTTGACCTAGTTGCCGAGCACTTGCCGAGCGCTTGCCGCCCGGTTGCCGCCTACTTGCTAACTGCTATAACTTGTCGGCAATCGCCGCGGCTGGTCTTAGTGGGCACGTCCGCGAGGTAGCCGCCGCTCGGCGGCGGCAGCTGGTAGAAGTCGCCGAGCAGCAGCACGTTGACGCCCGCGAAGGCCCGCGAATCCCCGGCCGCGTTGCGCTTCCACTGGCTGGCCGACGGGACGACCGCCCGCAGCCGCTGCTCGACCTGTCGATCGCGCAAACAGAAGGGCGGGGCGCAAGCGAGACCGGCCTCCCCCCCCGCACGCCTGCGCCAGCAGCCGCGCGTTGACCATGCTGACCTCGTCGACGACGAGCCATCTCCAGTAGCTCATTCTCTTCGCCGCCTCCTGGCCCACGGCGCAGTCCAGCGCGGCCGCGTCCACGCCAAGGCCGCAGGCGTTGTGGAGGGTCCGGCCGCGAATGTCGGCCGCGTTGACGGCCTGGAACACCCTGGAACGCCGCAACCTGCGGGGCGGCGACCCCAGCAGGGCAAGAGAGCCGACCGCAATTTCGCCCGCGCGCCTCGAAGTCGATCCCCTGCGCGTAGCCAAGCTGCTCCTCGAACAACTCCCGCAGGAACTTCAGGACGTGGGACTTCCCAGTGCCCGGCGGGCCGTGCAGCAGCCAGGCCAGCGGCTCGGCTCGCCGCAGAGCGATCTCGTGGTCCGGCGGCACCAGCTCCAGCTCGACCAGAACCCTTTCCACCACCACCCGCAGCATCTCCCATTGCTTGGAGTTCAGACCGCTCCGGACGCGCTCGCTGCCCAGCCAGTCCAACAGCGCGTCTGCGGTACGGGCGGGCCGAGCGGCTGCGCCTCGGGATCCCGCCCGGCTTGGCCGACGCCCGCAAAGGACGGAAGTCTGCTCTTGCTCCGCGAGCGCGGGCGCCCAGGCGAGCGCGTTGGTCAAGCTGCTCGTTTTGCGCTGCGCGCCTTGGCCGGGCGAGGCGTCGGCCCCGCTCTTCCTCCACGCGGCCCGGGACAAGTCGAACATCTGCTTGGTCATGACGCACAGCCGCGTCGCCGCGGCCGCGTCCTCCTGCTCACTGTCTTGTTCGTCAAAGTTCTCGGAGCCCAGCTTGCCCGCGCCGCGGACGTGCGTGGCCCGAGCCGCCTCCAAGTCCGCCTTGTCGAAGCGCACGCCCTCGTCCTGGACCTCGTTGTCGCTGTTCTCTTGCAAGTGCTGTTCCGGCCGGAGCTCCCGCGGCAGGCAGTAGACGAAGCAAAAGTTCAGCGCGAACTGCTTGACCTCTTCGGTCGGGAAGCCTTGGAGAATCAGCCGCCGTCGGAGGGCGCGGCGCCAGTCTGACTTGCCGAACTTGCAGAGGTCGGCGAGGAAGGGCGCGGCGGCCGAGGCGTCGTCGGGGTGGCTCGTCCAAGGGCAGAAGAGCAGCAGCACCCGCTTCGCGTAGTCCTCCTCCAAGCGACCGCCAAGCGCGCCCTGGACAACCGGGACGTGGGGCCTCGCAAGGGAACCGCGGCCGCCCGCGCCCTCTCCCCCCTCCCTGTGAATTCTCTCGCAGCCCCCGCGCCGCGAGCGCCGCGCGCCTCCTCCTCCCCCCCGCCCCCTCGCCTGCCCCGGCGCGCAAGGATCCAATCGTGTCTGAACTGCTGGGCGAGCGCTCCATGCCCTAGCGGCAGCCAGTCTTCCCCGCCTTCCTCGTGGATCTCGTAGTCCGCCCCGGGCAGCAAGACGGCTTTGGGGTTTGCGCCAAGCTTCGCCGCCCCAGCCCGCGTCAGCGAGGCGTGAAAACCTTCGTCGCGCCGCTCGCTCAGCTGCTGGCCAGCTTGAAGAGGAAGTGGCGCGCGAACTCGAAGGCGCAGAGGTCGCGGACTTCGGCGGCTCGCCCCCGCGCCCCGTAGAAGGTCCAGAACGGGCAGGAGACCACGCGCCCTCGCTGAGCCGCCGGCCGCGCGTCTGTCCGCAGCTGTCGCGGCTCAGCCGGCCAAGCTTCGCCGGCGGCCGCCGCCTCCAGGAGTTGGAGGCCGAACGTGGGGTCGTTGCCCGCCTGGCGCGTGGTCAAATTGGCGCACTCCACCGCGCCGCGGCAGACGCCGCGGGCGTAGCAGTCTGTGGTCAGCCGCTTGGCCACCCTCGCCCCGATGTAGCCGGCGGGCTTGTCCTTCAAGTCTTCGCCAAGCTCCCGATGGCCGCGCTGCCACTCCTTGAGCTCTTGCACGGCGATGGGCAGCCGCTTGTTCATGTAGTCGCAGCCGTAGCCAGCTTGGGCGGCCTGCGCGACGCGAGAGCAAACAGAGCCGGGCAAAACCGCGGCCACTTCCCGCCCGGCCTGGGTCCTCGCCGACGCAGGTCTCCTCCTGGCAGAGCGCGTCGTCGTGGGTCTCCTTCGTCACGGGGAACCGATAAGGCACTTGGAGGTCGCCGTTGCAGCGCAGCGCCGCCAGCAGCGCCGGGTGGTTGCCGTTGAGGTTCGGGTCGTTGACCGGGCCCCACTGCAGGCCCAAAGAACTCCGCTTGCCCTTGACGGGCAGGTCCAGCTGCTCGGCCAAGCCGCGGCAGACCAGAGCCGTTCGGGGCCGCCGCTCGCCGCCTGGGCCGGCAGGGAGATGCACATGATGTTGCTTGCGCTGCTGCAGCTGCTCCACGTCCTCCGCCAAGTATCGTTGCGTCCACTCCTCGGGCCGCAGCCGGCGGCTCGCCTGGTAGGCCGGCCGGCTCAACATCAAGGCGCAGTCCTTGTACTCCGGCCACTCCTCCTCCGCGGCGGCCCGATCGCGCTCCCAGCCGTCCGGGTCGCAGTAGACGGAGCGCCGGACATGGGCAGTGTAGGAAGCATACCTTCGCAGCAAGGTTCGGAGCTCGGGCTTACCCAAGTCAAGGAGGCCGGCCAGCGACCCGCGCTGATGGCGGCACTGGACGAACACTTGCATGTGGGCGTGGAGGGCTCCGCTCTTTTGACACTCGATGGAGCCAAACACCGCGTCAACTCTGCCCAGCACGCCGCCGCCGGCCACGGCGTTGCTCCCGAACGCGTCGCTGCAAGGCTGCCCCGAAGTCGCGCAGTTCGGGCAGCGCGGGCAGAACCTGACCCCCAAGAGGTGGCGCAGCGTCAGGAGCACCAGCGTCCTGGGGCCGGAAGTCGAAGCAGCGCGGTTTCTCGGAAAGGGGCAAAAAAAAGGCGCCGAAGCAAAACTCCCGGCTTCAGCGGCGAGCCCGGCGCCTCTCACGCCTGCTCCGGCGGCTGCTGTCGTCTTCTTGGGCCGCGGTGTTTCAAAGGCGACGGCGAAGTAGAGGGGCTGGAACTGGTCCAGAAGCTGGTTGCCGGCCCTGACCTCTAACTTGTCCAGTTCTCGCTTCTCGACCTCCGCCTCTACTTAAAGGGGCGTGGGGGTTAGTATCTATTTAGCCTACTCACTATGTACATAGCCAACATGCAAAAGAACTTACAGCACATGGCAAATTACATAGCAAAGTTACACAAATTGATTTATCGCACTTAGGCAAATGTACTTACAAGACTTACGACGTAAGGAAGGAACGCAGCCATAACCATGCACGGGGCAATGGCTGCAGCTGCCAAAAGCAAAATTATATTTGAAAGAAGACAAAAACAAGTCCTTCGCGATGCCAAAATGGCATGATCGAATGATGCGCACACACCACGCAGCGCTTCAAGTCTTCACGCAAGGGCCTCAAGTCTGCATGCAGTGCCTCGTGTCTTCATGCAAGGGCGGCAAGTCTGCACGCAACACCTTATATACAAGTTATAAAGGGCCTCAAGTCTGCATGCAGGGCCTGGGGCTCGCAAACATGTTTAGCACGCACACGCAACTTTACAATGAAGAGCGAAGGCTGGGGAACAAAGAGGATCAAACTGCCCCAATGAAACATCACTTAGTATTTACTTTATCAACTTTGACTAAAAAGACTCGCCCCTTGCTTGCGCATGCGTGCGCAGGCTCGAGCAGGCAAGCTCGCAGGGCCGCTGGCTCGCAACAGTTTTGCACGGTTGCAGCGTACCTTGCAATCATGCAGAACACGCACGAATTCAACAAGCACAAAAAAAAAGCTCCCCATGCACAGATTCTGAAACAAGCATGCATGCAGGGCCATGGGCTCGCAAGCCAATTTGCACTGCTGCGTGAACACGCCTTGCAATCACTGCGCAAACCAAATCTAAGCTGCAGGACCAAAGGCTCACTTTTGCACGGATATACAAACAGATCATGCCTTGCATGCATGCCAGTGATCTTGAAGTCTATGGCAGGCGGAGCATACACATGCATTTTTGGGGTTGGAATCTGAATCCACAGCTTGGAACACCTTCCCCTCCACCAAATAGAAGTGGAAACTGGAAGCAAACCCAATGCAACTTGGTGGTCCACAAGCAGTGGGCTTTTCCAACTCACGGCCATGCTCCCATGCACAGATTTAAGTGGGCGGCAAAAGTACAATTGCAGCACCATCGCGTTGAGACCAAGGGCATGTGCCCAAGATCCATTCAGTAGGAATCAGGACTGGGTTGTCCTTGACTCTGTACATGAAGCCGTCCACAGTATCCCAAAGGTGCACACATGACCATGTGACCTGCCCCACGGCAGCATGGAATTCTATACGGCCGACGCGCTTCTCCACCTGGGCAGCATGATATAGCTGGATCGAAGCTATATCGCCTCTGGCCACAGTATACCCTCCTGCGTGGATTGCGTCCGCTGCTGATTCAACCACGGCGTCCTCGAGAGCGCCCAAGCTTTGCCTGACCACGTTGGCAAGCCGCTTTGGGGCCGCCCTGGCATTGACCAGAGACACAGCGGAACCAGGCATTTCTGCAGGAGACTTCATAACATCGAACTGCCGGTAAACGATGTCCTGCAAGACTGATGACTCGAAGGCCTTGCTAGTGTCCAAAACATGATTTGCAACCCGCTTGACGCATTTGTGTTTGCGCTCGTGCACGAAGCAGCTTACCAAGCATCCGTGCTTCTTCAGCTGCGAGGGCAAGTGGAGGGATAAGTGAAATTTTGTTGTCCAGTGATCAACGCCATGGATGCGTTTGAAGGTCTCCAGATGCTGCTGGACAGTCTGCAAGAGCATGTTGGCATCATGCCTTCGATGTGGCAAGGTCGTATATGTGTCAAGGATCTCGCAAAGCAGAAAAAAACACTCTACCACGTCCTTGACCTCCTGGGCTGGCTCCGTCGAGCAGACAAAAAGAAGAACAAAGGCTCTCAGCAGTTGTACAAAGTTCAGCAGCTCACTGGCGCTACACTTGATGGGCTCGCTGGCGCCCCGTTTGTCGAGCACAGTCTTGGGCGCTGCTCCTCGAAGCCGAGCTGGCCAGTTGAAACCTTGCGCAAATTCGCGCATGTGCTTGATGCTGAAGCCATGTCGTGCCAAAACGCCGACCACCAGGCCACATTGCACGTTGGCCACGCCATGTACCAAGTACACATGCATCCAATCGAACATTGTTCTCTCCACAAACTTTGGGCCCCATTCTGGCTGTGCCAGCAGGCCGTGAGGACGGAAGTTGAAGCCGAGAGACTGCTCCAACTTGGCAAACTGCCCGAGGTTCAGAACTGAGCGCTGCTCCTGCAAAAAAGCAATGAGTTGCTTCACACTGTTCTCTGTGTGAAGGCGCCATGACCTCACATCAGTGCTCAAAGAGCTCACCAACTCGCCGGACCGGTCATGCCACTGAAGCTGGCTCTTGAAGTCGATGACGTTGGAGCAGTGGCAACAAAGAACTGTCCCTGAGGCGCCTTTGTTTTCCAGGGCCTGCTTGATGGCCGCTTCGTCTGCAACAAGGACACCGATGTCGGCAAAGACCAAGGTGCCATATGTTCTCAAATACAGGCCTGTTCGGAAATCATGGCCGGTAAAAAACAATTCCATAGCCTGCCGCCACAGCTTTGACATGCCGCCAAGTTTCTGCACCAGGCATGACCGTACGGCCATTAATGGGAACCAACAAGATTCAGTGCTAAGAGCATGTGGACCAAGTTCCCAAAATGACCAATACAGAACTTGAAGTTTACGAGCGTTGCAGTGTTTGAGCTGGTTCCCCGGGCTCACTTCATCAGCATAGACCACTATCTTCCACGGCGCCGTATGGCTGCATGGGCTGGCTTGGAGCCGTGCCTGAAAGAAGGACCTCCACCCAGCGCACTGATACGTCGCAGACGCCAACCAAGCTGCTGGAGGGAGGATGGGCACCTTGACAACTTCTCCGGGCTTGTCCTCCTCAGGCACATCCATGAACTGCATCAAAGGTCCGAACTCGGTGCTGCATTCCGCCAGCTGCTCATCCCTACGCCTTTTGATGGTCCTGCGAGATACACTGTCAGGGAGCTCGCCCAACTGCTTCACATCTGCAAGCACTGCCTCCAGGCCCCGTATAGACACATATGACCTTCGACCTATAGAGGAGAGGCGTGCTGCAGAACTGGCGCTGCTGGCGTGCACAGGCTGCACTGCCAGCGAAGAATCCGCCATGGTCGGCACGCAAGCCAAGCGAGGCTGCTGGCGTGCACAGGTTGCACTGCCAGCGAAGAATCCGCCATGGTCGGTACGCAAGCCAAGCGAGGCGATGGACTACAACGTGTTGTGTGATGCGGGAACTTTTCTCAAAACTGAGAATCAAAAGCTGGTTGGGGAAAACTGGCAAATAGACAAGCTTTCCTAAATAGCTCGGTCACCTCTATATATATCGCCCTGAGCGCAACGACTGCGCCGCATGCGATCACCAAGCAACGCATGGCATGGCTCACAAACTGGGATCATCACCGCCAACTATATTGGAAACATGGAATGCAGGCCATGGCCAATCACGTGAGTGTGGAGCGGTCATTGAACTCATTTTAAGCCGCCAACCTCACACGGATGTTCTCGCTCAAGCATATACACCTGCAGCGGGCACAATCAAAAAAAGAGCCCAACATGTTGCAGAAGCACCAAGCGCTCAATGTATTCAAGCTGACAAAGCAAGTCGATCATACGCTCTTTTCAATCCACCGATTTGTGCGTGCAAAAGGACATGCATGGGCTCCCCAAGTGGGCATGTCCAAGACATGACATGGCCACATCACTGCATGCAAGCCCTTCATGCACACGCAAAACTAGCTGGCAAACATTGACAAAATGCCTTCAAGGGAAATAGCAAGAAGGAGCACACCCCGGCTGCCATCGGCACTTGGCGCATCCGTGGGGACTTTTGCGCATACGCTTGTCCTTTGGCCAGCTTGCCACTTGGGCACGCTTCGCCACCTTCCACTCCCACCCCTTGTCGGTTGACTCGGCTTTTGTCTTTGGCTTGCAAACCGCCATCTTAGCCTTTGGCTTGGCGCCTGGCTTGGCCTTTGGCTTGGCACATGGCTTTGCCGCAGCCTGTGATTTAGCGCTCGGCTTCTTCATGGCGGCCTTGCCCTTGGCACTGGCCTTTGGCTTGTCTGCAGGCACACTCCCATCCGCAGCCTCCTGCGAGTCAGACTTGCTCTTCCAGCTATCTAACATGATCCTTGCCTGCGACGCAGGGTCCAAGGGCTCTTTGTCACGGGAGCTGCTGGCCGGCGGCGAGGGAGCAGGCGACGTGTTTGGCATAGTGGGCGTTGTTGGCCTGATGAAAGGGCCGGGGCTCGGCCCATCTTCCAGACCAGGGCTCCCAGGGTGACCAGCTGCTGGGGCAGGGGCTTCCTGTGGCTGGCGGTCACCAAGCGCAAGGGGAATGGTTGCCCTTGTCTGCGGCAAGTATTGAATAGGAGCCCTGGTGGAGGGAGCGTTGAGCATGCCTGCAGCTGCAGCTGCAAACATCTGCATCATCCCCTGCAGGGTTTGTGGCTGCGAAGTCGCAGTTGATGCAGGCAACACCTGCCGGGAAGTCTTTCTGACAGGACCAGCCGGTGGCAATCCTACGGCAGGGCTTTGAGCAGCCCCAACTGGCTTCTCTTCCTTCCAGACAATGGACTTGATTTCTTTCGGAAGGTCATCAGGGTTGTCAGGCCATGTCTCCAAGTGCCAGGCGTGGCGCACGGTTTTTGAGGTCACACTGCGCTTCAACTCCTGCACTGCGCTGAGGAAATGGTTGCCATCAGCAAGCTCGGCAGCACCCAACTCCCTGATAGTTGCAACCACGTGCCCTGATGTGGGCTCTGAGGGCATCACCAGGCCCATCCGCACCATGACGTCAGCTGCGTAGTGCACCTTCTCAGCTGCAGGACGATCGCTGCTGAGGAAGTTCAGCTGAGTTTGTGTCAAATAAGCTGCAAATGCGCTCATGCGCTGCAGAGGCCGTCTGGCACCGGCGATCTTTGGGGATCTTTCTGTTGGGCAGCAAGGGCAACCGCAGCTGCCAGCTGCTCTTTCTCTGCCTCAGACCATGGGCCTTGGGCAATGACATTGGACACGGCAGCAGCATCGGCAAGGGTCAGCTTTGACTGCGAGATCTTCTTCACCAAGCTCATGGCTTGGCCGACCCTTAGAGCCGCGCAGTTTCCTGTGATGGCGTTCTGCGCCGCCAAGAAAGCGCACACGTGTCGGATCTCCTCAACGAGGGCGTCCGCCATGCTGCTGCGAGTCTACAGGCAGGCGCGCTGAAAGGCTGACAGCGAGCGACACAGACGCCCTGCCGCCGCATGCATCTCTCAAGACATGACCGCACCCGTGCGAAACAAGATTGGAACATGATAGCAAGCTCGTCCTGGCACTTATACACATGCAAGCAAACACACATGCAAACAAATGCTGCAAGGCTAGCATGTCCGAAAGGAAGATGGCACAATGTCTATATACTTTTGCAACCGTGACGGAAATCAAGCGTGCACTCACCACTCTGCAGCTTCTCTGCACAAAACGCTCCTTAAGGCTGTGCGATAGAGCGCAGCAAGACATGTGGAGAGACTGGTTTACCTCGCCTCAGGCTATGCAAGAAATGCATCCACCTGACCAAGGCACGGCCTGACTTGCGGCGGATCCTGATGTCCAAACGACCACGCACTGGGCTATGGAGCGCGGCAGGCGCCCATAGAGCGAAGCGCATCGGCAAGAGCAGGCTGCCCGGGAAGACGAGGCGAATCGGCACATGGGGTGGCACCTTATCGGACAGGATTTCCCTGAGACGCACTTCCAGCCCCTTCACGCTCAAGCGCTGCCACACGTCCAGCGACACCGTCCCCACGCACTCGCCGCTGAGGCTACGGGCAATGAACTCCACGCATCCACTCGGGGGTGTTTGACGGAAGGCCAACTCGATGTTGCAGACAAACGTGGACTGGATGAACTCCCGAATGCACACCGCGTGGCCCGAGCCGCGGTGCTGGAAGAAGTGGTACGTGCGGCAGTCTTGCCGCAATTCTTGAGACCCGCGCTCCATTTTCCAGTACCTTCCGCCTCCCAGAGGCATATATATGGCGTCACCGCCATTTATGAAGCGCTCCCTCTGCACGGGGGGGACGATTGTCCATGCGCCTGGAGCAGGGGCTTCATCATCCTCGCACATATGGCACCACTCATACATCTCCACCATGATGGGAGGGAGTGATCAAACTATAGACGTGAGACAAAAATGGCTGCAACATCAACACAAGTCCGGGTGTGCATGGGCACGAAGCCTTCGTCCTATAGTCACAGCAAGTTACCTGGCACGTCAGGTCAAATGCGCTCACATCACAGGACAATTTTATACCTCATGCCCGGTGAGTTGCGCAAGCCTAAGCACTGCAGGACGCCGCTACTCGTAAGCAGCCCAAATTGCATGACGCCATTTATAGCATGCCCGTTCCCAGGCACGCTTTGGCAGATCCCGTCGTGGAGTGGCCGGAAGCTGCCAGCCCTGCTCTTGCAAGCCCTTGTAGCGCTTGTAGGCGTCGTGGCTCCTCATGCTCTCCAGCATGCGGGCCCGCTTTTGCGCTGGTCCACCTCCTACATTTTCAGGCGTATCATTGCCTGATACCGTGGCCAGCTTTGACACAGGCATGGGATCCATATGCACTATGTGAAAACAGTTAATACCGAGAGTCGCAACGTGGAGCGCAACAGCTTTGGGCCAAGTCCAGTGCATTGGTGCCAGACAGGAGCCTTGTGACTAACGTCGAACACACAACGAGAAACCAAAATTGGGACTCCTCCACCAAACATCAAACATGGAATGATCCACAAGCTTCATTAACATGGGCTTCACAAAAAAGCCCGAAACGTAAGATTGGGTAGGACAAGCTCGTCAACATGCTGCGAACCGGACTTCAAGAAGGATCCCTATGCCTGAGAATCCAGCAAGAAACGCAAGCACACTTTTTTGCGCTCAAGCTGCACGCACAAGCGCAAACCCGCTACACACACAGCTGGGCTAGTGGTGTTTTGATTGCTGTTGTTTGATGTGATTGTGTTTTCTTATGTGTGTGATGTGTGTGTGATGTGTGTGATGTGTATGGAATGTGTGTTGTTGGTAGCTGCCACTATCCCGGATGCGCGTGCTCGTAGATTTCCAACGTTGCGGCCCAAAACCTACATCAACGCCGGGCAAACCCACAGAGAGAACTCATGATTATGCCATTTGTTGGTGGATAAACCTCAAAACTCACATGTGAACTGAGCCACTATTGAGGCAACAAATCAGGGATTGTGCATAATATTCTTGGCCCATACGTGTGGCAATCGCAATTCAACATATGGTCTTTGGTGCTCCCAGTTTGTGAATCATACAACATCAGGCGATACCTAGAATGCGTCAGATTTATCAATTGATAAATTCTACGAGCTCTACTGGACCCCAAATTTATCAATTGATAAATTTGGGGTACCTACATGGGCACCAGATTTATCAATTGATAAATTTCATTGCAAAATGGACACCAGATTTATCAATTGATAAATCGCGGTGCAAAAATGGACAACGGATTTATCAATTGATAAATTTCGACGCAAACGTGGACACTCGATTTATCAATCTAAAACACTTCACCCTGAAAGGGTCCATGATTTATATGAAACAAATCCATGCGCGTGCCCAGCAATTCATGCAGAGGCCTCTCCTGTAGGCGAGGCGACGCCCAATCAGAACCTAGATCTTCGAACTCATGATCTTCGAAACACAATCAGCCACCCCAAGGTACAACCATGCATCCAACAAACCTTCAACAAGGCGTGCCCGTGGCACTGCCAATGAATATCAGAACTTCAAACACATTCATCCCAAACCCTAAGAATTTAAGACTATATTTTCTTGAAATTCAGTTGCAGCACGATGCAAACTTCTTCATCCCAAACCCTAAGAATTTAAGACTATATAGCCCAAATTTGGGTTGTTGTTTTTGTCCCCAAAATTAGGGGCCCAAATTCTCTTGAAATTCAGTTGCAGCACGATGCAAACTTCTTCATCCCAAACCCTAAGAATTTGAGACTATATTTTCTTGAAATTCAGTTGCAGCACGATGCAAACTTCTTCATCCCAAACCCTAAGAATTTAAGACTATCTTTGCTTGAACAACTCAGCTGCAAGACTACGCAAACACCTTCATCCCAAACCCTAAGAACGTAAGACTATCTTGGTGGACCCTCAAACGCTTTTCGTCGCCTCGCTAAGGCCTCTCAGCTCAGCTCAGGAGCGTCGCGCCTGCGCACGTGTGATGTGAGAAAAACAGGGGGTCAGGAATGCGAGGACTGACAAAAAGCAAAACCCGGCCTGGGCTTGTCAGCCAAAGCCACCACCTGGTCACTGCCGCCTTGGATTGCGAGAACTCGCCTTTGTCAGACGCACGCAAACAATACACGAGGCTGACACCTTCGCTGCTGCCCGCCGCGCGTTCGGGCTCGAAGTCTCCCGGAGCCAGGTCTGAGCGACCATGCGTTTGGCGCAGTGAGTGAGTGAGTGAGTGAGTGAGTGAGTGAGTGAGTGAGTGAGTGAGTGAGTGAGTGAGTGAGTGAGAGTGAGTGAGTGAGTGAGTGAAGTGAGTGAGTGAGTGAGTGAGTGAGTGAGTGAGTGAGTGAGTGAGTGAGTGAGTGAGTGAGTGAGTGAGTGAGTGAGTGAGTGAGTGAGTGAGTGAGTGAGTGAGTGAGTGAGTGAGTGAGTAGTGAATGATGAGTGAGTGAGTGATGGAGTGAGTGAGTGATGAGTGAGTGAGTGAGTGAGTGAGTGAGTGAGTGAGTGAGTGAGTGAGTGAGTGAGTGAGTGAGTGAGCAACGCACTAAGTCCTGTACGCCCACACGTTCCCCTCCGTGTCGATGAAGTGCGGCCGGACATACATGCCGTGGCCCTTGGTGTCCGGAACGAGGAAGTTCGGGGCGAGAACGACCTCCCCTGCCACAGCGAACTACAAGTTCAAATCACGACAACTCCAGTCACAGGCCTCTTCTTCCGGCCCAGGGCGCTTTGTGCGTCAGCACCGCTGGGCCCGCGCATGGGGGGGGGGTTGGCGGCGGTGGCGGTGGCGGTGCCGGTGGTGGCGGTGCCGGGGGCCACCATTCCTCCTGCACGCAAGGGGGGAATTATTGGCAACGACGCACCCCTCCTCAAGGTGTGCTTCCGTCCTCCGTCCCCTCCTCGTCGGGCGTCATAGGCTCCTTGATGGCAACCTGCAAGCGACAACAGGCCTGCCCACATGGACACTGCACCTGAGCGTCGCCTCTTCCTCGTCGGGCGTCATAGGCTCCTTGATGGCAACCTGCAAGCGACAAACAGGTCCTGCCCACATGGACACTGCACCTGACCGCGGGCGAGCAACGTGCCCTGCCCGTGCATGGACGAGTGCACTCCACCTAAGCCACGCCTCTTCCTCTTCCCAGTCCTGCTGCTGCTCCTGATACGCAATGAGATGAAAAGTGGCGACCGCGGGCGAGCAACGTGCCCTGCCCGTGCATCTCCACCTAAGCCACGCCTCTTCCTCTTCCCACTCCTGCTGCTCCTCCTGATACGCAATGAGATGAAAGGTGCAAGCAACATGTGCCCTGCCCGCATGCATGGACGAGCGCACTCCATCTAAGCCACGCCTCTTCCCACTCTTGCTGAGCCTGCGTTGACACAAGTGGCAACTGCGGGCGACAACGTCTGCCCTGCCCGCTGGACCAGGAACCCCCCTCTCTTTTGGGTCCCACATGAGTGGGGGGGACCAGGAACCCCCCCCCCTTTTGGGTCTCACATGAGTGGGAGGGACCAGGAACTCCCCCCCCTTTTGGGTCCACGGAACGAAGCCTTGCCTCCTTGAGCGATGCGGCAGCGGCGGATGCGCCCTGTTCCTGGCGAGAGGACATCTAGCAATCAATCGCAACATGATTTTTGCAACGGAAAAACAAGTGGCAGTGAGAGGCCACCCACACAAGCCCCAGGCCGAACCACGAGCAGCCTCGTGCTCAGCGCCCAACCGACCCTGGCAGCGAGTGAGTGCGTGAGTGAGCGAGCGAGCGAGCGAGCGAGTGGCCTTGCGCTTGTATCTGCTCCAAGGCCTTGGTGGGTCCTGCCAGAGCAATGCAGAACGAACTGCCGGACACGCACAAGCTTTACAGGCCTTGCTTGCCTTCCGCTTCCTCATGAGGTCCTGTCAACTTGCAAGGCACGCAGTGCATGCTTGCACGCGTGCACTCTGAAAAGCAACAGCTCCTCCTGCACCAGCTCCTCCTTCTTCATCCGCTCACAGCGAAGAGCGCTTGGGACCCATGTGCCCTCCAGCATGTGCTGCCAGCCTGAGCGTTGGCGTGTGAGCGCCCAAAATCAAGGAAAGATTGAGAGGCTGGCCATTTGTGGGAGGCGTTGGCCTTCGGCCATGGCTCCGGAAAAGAGTCTCTCCTGCAGGCGAGGCTTGCAAATCCACAAAGACTGGAAACTCCTGAAAGGGCGTCCTTGGCACACGATGCGCCAACCGCACCAGCGTGGCTCGGCGCGGTTGTCCCAGAAGCTGCATGATGCCACGCTATTGCAGTAGAACGGCGCACTGCACCCCTGCGCGAATTTGCAATGACAACGGGCATGCCAGCACGAAACAAAAGCCTGCGGCATGAACTCCTTGAGGTTGGCCTTCATGAACAACTCCTCCTCATCGGCCTGAGCGAGACTGAACACAGCGAGCAAACATGCCCTGCTGAGGCATGGACGGAGCCGGGATCTCTAGCGAAGTGCCAGCGAATGCACCAAGTCCTGCAAACACTGACAGCGTGGATCCGGAATGGCAGGCATGACATGACTCTCCTCCATGTTGGATCTCCGTGCTGCTTCGGCAAAGGCCTGCGATGATGGCCCCTCATCAGGCCTGCCCAGGTCGGATATGTATAGGCGCATGGAAAGGCAATATACTGCATGAAAAGAAGCCGGGCCTCGCTAAAGCCCGCTGGCCAACCCCCCTCGCCCACGCCCCCGGGAGCCATGGATGCATCATGCAAGCAACCAGATCAGGACAGCATGCATGGGTTGTGCTGTTGCGCATGTTTGGACAAAAACAAATGCAAACATTGACGTTTTCTCCTGCCAAATTCCAAAAAATGGGCCTACGCAGACGCTTTGGCCTTGGCCTTCGCTCGCGGCTTGGATGATGAAGCCGCAAAAGCCCCTTGGAGGTATGCAAGGTTCCCAGCCGTGAGCTCCAACCAAATAGTCTGGGTACCCACCCCTTCGACAAGCACTTGCATAGACCTTGCCTCGCGTGCACCGGTGGCCGGAACCACAATCTGCACTGCGGGCGGAAGAAGTGCGGTGTTCTCCGCAGTGCACCTGACGCGGCGCCGCTTCTTCTGGCGCTCTCCTTCCGTGTCATCATGAGCGAGGGCTACCATGTCGTCACAGGTTTTCTGCCGGAGACCAACGAGCTCGGTCCACATCTCGACATTCAGATCCTTGGTGTCGCGGTCCTTCCGCAGATCTAGGGCGCGACCATACATGAACTTGACGAGCTGGCGGTTCCATTTCTCCAGGCAGATGTAAGTGACACCGTCGACATCTTTCTGATGAGGCACCCATGTCTCCTTTATGCCCCACTGGACAACCATTTGCTTGACAACGGTCACAGACATCATGGAAGAGAAAGGCCGTGAAATGAGTGGCGAGTCAAGCCCTAATATAGGATGATCTACCAAACGCCTGCAAGCGAGCAATGCGTGCCCTGCACAAAGACATCAATCATGCATGAATGCGCACTGGACATCAGTCGTGCAGCATGACATATACCACAAAAACCGGCATGTTTTCTTCGAGCAACGACCTGGTTCCGTTCTCGCCACACACATGCGAAGCTATTTTTTTCACTTGGAGCCTGTTTTGGCTTTGGCCTTGGCCTTCTTCTTCGGAGAAGCTTCCTCTGCAGATCGCTTCTGCGGGGAAGTGGCAAGAAGGGGCACTGCCTTTTCCTCTTTGGACTTCAAGTAGAGCAGCATGTCGCCAGCCTGCAAGTCCTTGGTGTTCTTCAGGATGGGGATGCGGATGGTCTTGTCAGACTTGCAGCTGACATAGTGGAGCTGCATATTCACATCCTGCTCGTCAGAGGAGGCTTGCAAGAACCAGACTGGGTGCACAAAGGGTTGCTGGCCCTTGCCATCCTCAGACGGCAACTGCACCATGGGCGTGATCCAGAAGGTGTGGGTGGGCGAGGAAGTCAACACCTCGAAGCCTGGCCCCTTTTTGCTCTTGGCCTTTGGCAAACAAACTACTTTGCAAGAGCACGGCACCAGCACGAGCTTGCCTCGCGAAATCTTGTCCTTGGCGCTGACGGTCTTGTTGGGCTTTGTCTGGATTTGCAACAAGTCCCAGTTCTGCAACTCAAGCTCAGAGCCCATGTCGTGGACTTGACAGACAATGGTTGCAAGCAAGTGCTGGGCCTTGTATTCGTCGTTGGAACTGGGGGGTGCTATGGTAGGATCATGCAAGTAGACTGGGCCAGCTTTGGGAGAGAAAATCACCCAACCTCCCTGCAAGAACTCTTCAATGGCAACCTTTGCCAGGATGCCGCCGCCCATGTCAACCCTGACCATGCCACCCTTGATGTCGTCCAGAACCCCCTCCTCCTTCGTAGCCCTGCGCCTGACGTGCGCGCCAGCTTCGAAGCCCATCTCCTGCAACAACACTGCAGGCTCCTTAAGGCTGCCGTCAGCGTTCAGCTCGCGCATCCTGAAAGCATGCATATGCATAGCGGTGCAGGGAACATGCGCAGGGTTGTAAACATTTTGACCATCAACGTAACAATTGTGTAGCGGATGTTCCATGCAGACATGGCTCAAAATTGGCTTTGTGGGGTTGTTGCCGGAACTGGCAGCATCGTCGCCCTGAGCGAACTCCTTCCACGGAGACGCAAGGTCCTTGCCGGTCACAATTCGAACCACTTGGACCCAGTCATGGGCGATGGCCTGCAAACTCTTCCATTGCTTTTCGCCCTGCGCGTGGCGCAAGCCGACCAGCTTCTCCCCGGAGTCGCCAGCCTCACAAAGGCGAGTGAGCTCTTTTTTCAGCTCAGGCGACATGGACATATTTCAGAAAAACTGCTTGAGGTTCGGCAAAAGCTGACAAACATGCACATGCACAACACTGCAAGCACCCTGCAGGAGACTGCTGCGTGCAGCAGAACATGCCCGCGAGCAAAAGTGCATTGAGCGGAAGCGCCTCTGCAGGATTGAAGCACTTCAAGAAAAGTGCGTCATCCCTGGCTACAGCTGCCCAACCCGAACCCAGCAACGCAACTGAAATGAAAGGCCTCTTCAACTCTTCTGGCTGCACCGATTTCGCCAAATGGCTGCACGTGTCCCACATGCAATATATATTGCCATGCTCAAGGCTTCCGACTCATGCATGTGACTTCAGAAAAAAACGTGTCGACACGGACGTGGCGGACCAATGCGAAGTGTGCGCGCTCGCAGCTTTGGTGGTTTCAAACCAAAAAATGAAATCGGTGAAAAACAAAAAACCCAAGGCGACACACGTCACAAAACGGATTTGTAACTGAGTTATTTGATTTGCCCAACTCAGGCCAACCAAGTTACACATGCATCAAATTGACATGCTATGTTACTTGCAAGTCACCCAACTACATGTAAATACGTGCAAAACTTATTATGTTGACCTCGCAATTTATATGTACCCTCCAAATTCCTTAGCGATAATGCGCTACATACTTGATGTATAACCTAGTGTTAGCCAAGATGCAACTGACCTTACAAAACTTGCTATCGTCAGCAACTAAGCCAAAAACATACTAAGACGCGCGCCCCTTTAAGTAGGTCCCGCCGCAGTTTCCGCAGCGCGGCCACCGCAGCTTCGTTGGCGTCTTCGCCCGCGCAGCCTTCCGCGACCACGGCCCGCGCCCGCTGCGCGGCAAAGGTCGCGCCGGCGGCGGCGGCGTCTTCCTGCCGCCCGTCGCAAGGCGTCGCCGCCTTTTGCGGCTGCAGCTTGTCCTCGGCGTCGTCGACGTGCGCGCGTTTTTTTTTTTGAGCGCCCTCTTCCGTTCAGCCCGCGGCCCGCCCCTCTTTCGCCCGCGCCTGGACCACGACTTTCAACACCTCGGGCGGAACCCCGTCGGCAGGGAGGGCGGCGGCTCTAAGGCGAACTCCCTCCTCATCCACGCCCGCAAAGGATGGGTGGCCCAGGCGCTTCATGTCCAAGATGAGGTTGACCGCCGCCTCGCGCCTCACGTTCGCCTGGTGGATGAGGCCCTTGATCTCCGCGTCGCTCGTCTTGCCCTTCTTGTTGGTCTTGAGCAGAACGCGGACCAGCTGGCCGAGTTCTGCGCCGCTGCGCGGCAGCGCCGCCGCCTGGTCGCCTTCCCCCTGCAAAGCTTTCAAGACGTCTTCCCAGGGCAGCGGGAAAGATAAAGCGTTGCCCCGAGCCCCGAAGCGATGCCGGGCCATATGAGCCGTCTCGTCTAGGGCGCAAGCCTCGCTGCGGAACCGTGCCTCCATAGACACGCAAATCAACGTCGCGACGCAGGGCGAGGCGCAGATCAGCTCCATCGCAGTCGCCTCCTCCGCGTAGATCCGCTCCGGGGCGTAGCCAGTCCACATGTCGTTTGCCAGGCTCAGCGGGGGCAACTGCGCGCGGGCGAGGTGGTCGAGGCAGCCGCCGCAAACTGGCAGCTCGCAGTGCTCGCAGAGGACGCCTTCCTCAACGTGTCCTGGGACCGCGCGGCAGCGGTGGTCCTCCGGGCAGCACAGCAGCTCTGCGCCGCCAGGGCCAGGCAGCCGCAACTTCCAGGAGCCGAAACTCCCAGAGTCAGACAACTTCTTGCCCGGGACGTCGAGCTGGTCGTATTTCTCCAGAAAGCGCTCCAGGCTGAGAGCTCGCGCCGCTGCGGCCGCCGGCTTCCCGAAGAAGAGGTGCTCCCCCGTCGGCTTGCGACTCAGTGGCCGCCGCCGTTGGATCTCGCTCTGCCCCTCAAGCTCCCCCACGCGGGTGGCGCAGCAGAAGCAAACCAGAGCTTCCACGCTGTCCTCCGCAGTCGCCTCGGCGAAGGAGCGCAGCGCGGTGCGATCCAAGGAGCACCCCGCCAGCGGCGCCCCGGCCCGGCAGCGCCGGGCGACGGCCTCGTTGTAAACGCTCAGCAGCGCGTCCGGGGGGCGAGGCCCAGGAAAGCAAGCGGCGGCGGACTCCAGGTCTTCTGCGTGCTCCGCCTCAAGGTGCTTGGCGAGGTCCGCTTCCAGGCCGTTGGCCGCCTCCCATCCGCAGCCGTCAAAGGCGCAGAACGCGCGGGGCCAGACTGCTCCGTCCTTCAGCTCAACATCTTCGGCGCCCGGCGGGAGCGTCGGCTGGAACCGGAGCTTCAGCGCCAACTCCGTCACCGCGTCCTCTAGGGGGCGGAAGGGGTGGGAAGTCTGGGCCGCGGGGATCACGAAGGCTTTGCTGACTTCCTCCATCACATCGTCCTGCAGCTCCGGCGCCGGCGTTGTCTTTTCCCGGAGGCGGCGCCGGGGCTTCGCCGGAGCGGGCTGGGCGGGCCGCGGCGGCGCGCGGCCAAGCCCGCGGCCTGAGCGGGCCGGCTTGCGGGCGGCCGCGGCGGCGGCCAGACTTGGGAACTCCTGGCCGCGAAGTCGACCCCTTGCCTCGGCGCGCAAGCGAACACAGGCCTCTGCGTAGACAGCGGCCGCCGTGGCCCCCGCAGCTTCCGCGATCGCCCGGGCAAAGTAGCGCGGCGGCGGCGGCTGCGGCCAGGCCGGGACCATGGCGTCGGAGAGCTCGGCCTCGATCAAGGCGCTGTAGTGGTCTACTCCGTTGTAGAGGAGGTGGGCGACGAGCGCGTGGGAGCTGTCCTGGACCTCCACGATGTCGGAGCCCGCGACCTTGACGTGGGCGAAGACCCGCCGCTGTCGAAGCAAGGAATAAGCCGAGATGGCCACGGCTCCGCCCCAGCACTCCGCCGCAGGCCCTCGCAGGTGCTCGGCCTCCTCTAGCCAAACTTCTTCGAAGCCGTCCTGGCCGAAGGCCTCGCTCTCGAGAAAGTCCGCCAACTCTGCTCGCAGCTCCTCCCCGCAGCAGCCCTCTTCGTCCTGCATCGCGAGGGCGTGGAAGAGGCAGTTGCCGTCCCCGGGGACGTCGACCACCGCCAGGGCGCAGATCGCCGCAACCTGCGAGCGGCCGCAGGGAGGGGGCGGCGGGCGCGAAAAAGCCAAACTCGAACGAGAAAAAACTCTCGGCTAGCCTCGTCCGCCGCGGCCGCAGACGAAAGGTCCGCCGGGGCCATTCTGCCAATCAAAAGTCCTGCGCGTGCGACGGGCGACCCCGCGAGGAAACCTCTCTGCCGCGAGAAACGAGCGCGGACAGTCCTGATCGCAAACAGCTAGGCGTGCGCGAGAGCTCGGAAGCTTGAGCCGAAAAGCCGTGGAAACGGCCGCGGCCAGCCGAGTCCCAAAAGTCGACGCGGCCGCGCGTTGCTTGGGGGGGCGGCGGCGCGGTCGAAGGCTTGAGAATCTCGCAAATTGGCGCGGCGTTTGCCAACTCCCTTCCTTGCAAGACGAGGCGCGCAACCGCGACGCCCGTGCTCTCCTGCCGAGGGCCAGACTTTTCTCCTGCTGTCGCCCGCAACGTCTTGCGTTTTGCGACTGTCGGCGGTCCGCTCAAGAACCCTGGGCTGCGAACAGGGCCCGGTCCAAACTCAGCCGGACGCAAGGGCGGCCGCGTCGAAAGCGGTCAAAGCAGACCACGTCTCGCCACACAGGAAACGGAAAGTCGCAGTCCAAGGCGGCAGCCTTCAGCCGCCCTTGCCAAGCCCGGACCGCCCGCCGGAGGCCGGGACAGGCGCCGCTCCGAAACGAAGCCTAGGAAGAGCACAAAAATTTGGAGCTCGGCGCGCAGGCGCAGCGGCTCGCCGTAGACCAGCCATCGCCAAGAAGGCAGCGGAAAGTCCCAGTCTTCGCACTTTCGGCGCAGCCGCGCCTGCCACAAGGCCAAAGTTGGAAGCCGCAAGTAGGCGCAAGGCCCCGTGGTCGCCCCCGCAAAGGCGGCGACTTCGCGCCAGAGAGCGCCGTCGTCAGCCTGGGCCTCAAGAGAGCCGCGGCCGCGGGCGTCTGCCGCGCGCCCGCCGCGTCGTCCTCTCCCTCGTCGCTTTCGGAGTCCCGCACGTCGGCCCATCGGGGCCGCTGGCCCAGCGTTTGCAGCATGCGCGGCGAAGCTGGAAGTGGCTTGAGCCCGGAGCTGGCCGCGCTCCCCCTCCGCTCTTCTCCGTCTCTCGCCGTTTGTCTCTCTTCCTCGCAGCGCTCCTTTTTCCGAACGCGGCGCGCGACCCTCCGACTCACCGCGGCCGCGCCGGCCGAGCTTGCCGCGCGCAAACAGCCGTCAGGAAGTGGTCGCAGCGGAACACAATGGCCAGCCCGGCGTCGAAGGGCGGCTCCTCTTCGTCTTCGTCGCCCGCCGCCAAGCAGCCGCGGAAATCGCCAGGGCGGTCGACTCCGCGCGAGTAGATGAAGCGAGCCTGGCCCTTGCGCAGCAAGCCGAGGTAGAAGTCAAACTCTGGCCCCCCAAGCAAGTCGAAGAAGTTGAGCCGCTGCAGCACTTCCATTGGATTGAGGCCCCGGAGGCGCCAATAGCGATCAATCCAGCGCCGCATCTGGAACTGCGAGCCCCCGCAGAAGGCGCCGGAAGCGGTTTGCCCGCTCCTCGTCGAAGTCCCAACAGGCCCGCACTTCGAGAAAGTCGCAGAGCTCGAAGCCCGGCAAGCGCGCGCGAGCGCCTTGAAGGAAAGCCGCAAAGTCTTCGGCGAGCCTCCGCGCGGCAGCGCCCCGCTCCGTCCACTCTGGCCTGCGGGCGTCGCGGCAAAGCGCCAAGAGGCGAAGCGCGGCTCGCCCGTCCAGTAGCTCGAGGAACTCCTGCAACAACACGTCGAAGACTTGGGCGCGGACCAGCGGCATGGCGCAAGGGGAAACGCGCGGGTCTCACAAAAGGGCTCGGTCCGACAACGCTGCGTCGCTTCCCCCCTTCCGCGGCCGCCCTGCGCGCAGAGCCACTGCAAGCAAGTCTCGGAGAAGCCCGAACAACACGGCGGCGCGGCCAAACCCGCGGCGTGGCTCGCTTCATCTACTCGCGCGGAGTCGACCGCCCTGGCGATTTCCGCGGCTGCTTGGCGGCGGGCGACGAAGACGAAGAGGAGCCGCCCTTCGACGCCGGGCTGGCCATTGTGTTCCGCTGCGACCACTTCCTGACGGCTGTTTGCGCGCGGCAAGCTCGGCCGGCGCGGCCGCGGTGAGTCGGAGGGTCGCGCGCCGCGTTCGGAAAAAGGAGCGCTGCGAGGAAGAGAGACAAACGGCGAGAGACGGAGAAGAGCGGAGGGGGAGCGCGGCCAGCTCCGGGCTCAAGCCACTTCCAGCTTCGCCGCGCATGCTGCAAACGCTGGGCCAGCGGCCCCGATGGGCCGACGTGCGGGACTCCGAAAGCGACGAGGGAGAGGACGACGCGGCGGCCGCGCGGCAGACGCCCGCGGCTCTCTTTGAGGCCCAGGCTGACGACGGCGCTCTCTGGCGCGAAGTCGCCGCCTTTGCGGGGGCGACCATGGGGCCTTGCGCCTACTTGCGGCTTCCAACTTTGGCCTTGTGGCAGGCGCGGCTGCGCCGAAAGTGCGAAGACTGAGACTTTCCGCTGCCTTCTTGGCGATGGCTGGTCTACGGCGAGCCGCTGCGCCTGCGCGCCGAGCTCCAAATTTTTGTGCTCTTCCTAGGCTTCGTTTCGGAGCGGCGCCTGTCCGTTTTCGTGGCTGTGCGCCTGGCCTAGTGGTCTTGCGTCCGTCTCTGAAGCGGGTGGTCCCGGGCTCGGTTCCCCCCTGGCGCGCGCCCTGTTTTGCGTGGCCGTGTCGTGGTGTCTGGCTGCCGGGAGTTTTCGTGGCTGCGCCGTGGATTTCTGCTTCCAGCCGCTCGAAATCGCGGGGCTGCTTCTGAAGTCGCTTCTCGCTCAGCCATTGCGCGGTTCTTTCCTATTACAGTTCCTGCTACAAAAATCTACTTTTGAAGCTTCTTCCTGCAAGTCGAGACAAGCAGCTCCGGCCGACGACGTAGTCCGGCGGCACGCGGATTTTCTTCAATGTTCAAATCGCTCGGTCTTTCTGCGCGGCTTCGGGCAGTCAAGACGGCGTTCTCTGATGTCGGCCCAACTTGTTGCCTTTGCTTTTCCTCTGGCGAGGAACTTCGCGACGGGTCGCTTGCCGCTTGTTCCTCATTGCTTGCTTGCTGCTCACCACCCGCGCGCACGGCTGCTGCTGCTCGCAACCTTTTGCTAGTCGCCGCGCGCGGTTGTTCTTGCCGCATGGCTTCCACCGCGCGCCCCCAAATTCGGTTTTCTAAGTTGCGCCTGGCAACTTATTGAGGCTGGTCCTTGGTAATGGGATCTGGGTGGGTGGGATTGAGATCGAAGCTTTAGATGATCTTTGCTTTGAAAATCCCACGTCTTGAAGTCTTTGAACCCTAAACCCTAAACCCTAAACCCTAAAGTCTAAGCCGAGCCCCCCTAACCCTCAAAGGGGCGAGGCTTCGCCGGAACGACAGTGGAGCGCCCTCTTGCCTTCCGGGCGAGGAGGAGTCTCCGAGCAAGACAACATAACGGGTGCTAGCCCGCGGCAGTGCTGCCTCTTCCAGTAAAGGTAAACACCCTAAATCCTACACTTTTTGGTGGCCGATCCGTCTTTCCTTCACCAAGGGGCAAGCCCCAATGGCCACTTTATCAAGGGCGGCCCAAGGGCAATTTTATCAAGGGCGGCCATTTCATCCGGTCAAGGCCGGCCATTTTCAAGCAATGACCACTTTATCAAGGGCAAGGCTTTTCTTTCAAGGCGTTTTCATCCCTTGCGGGTTCTTCAGTGCGCCGGCGTGAAGTGCTCTGGATCGAGGAGGCCGCCAAGCAGGTAGTCCGCGTCGCGCTGCACTCGGCTCAAGGCGACGTAACCGCCATGACGTGGGCCAGTTTGGCCCTTGCAGCTTGTGGATGGTGCTTGTGTACCCCGACAACGCCGGGTAGCAGGTGACGTGGACGTCGTCTTCCACAATTTCCTCCAGGCGGGGATCGCCTGCGTGAGTCAGGCCTTGTGGCCGCGGCAAATATCCTTCAGCTGGTCTGCCGTCGGCCTTGCTGTGCGCAGCAGCTGGAGCTTCTTGCGGAGCTTCTCGTCCTTGCAGCGCCACATCTCGTGCAAGTCCACCTTGAATGTCATCCGCCACTTCGGGCTGTCAAAGTCCCCGGTGAAGACAAGGCCCGGGCGTTGATTTGCGGCTTCCCACATCTGGATGATTCCGTCGAGCTGCAAGACCTCGTCCACCACCACAAGGTCGTATTGCGCAAGGACGTCCAGATGTTCCACGTCTGCCGTTAGGCGCCTGCTTCGGACCCTGGTTGCCTGTTGGGCTGCGGGCAGCGCGTAGCCGGGCCAAGCTACTTTTAGGGCGCCAGCTGTATCCTAAGCAGCCAAACCCTCAGTTTGGTCAAGGAAGAAGCAGGAAATGGCGAGATCCTGACATTTGAGCCACAGATGACCAGTTCCATATGATGCCATTCAAAGTCTTCTAGGTCAGCCCCAATGGCAATTTTATCAACAGCTAGAAGCAAATGGCCATCCTTAGATTTGAGCCACGGATGGCCAGCTCCATATGCTGCCACACAAAGAATTTATCAGCGGCTGGGCCAAGCAACTTTTACAAGAAGCGGCCTTGCAGTCGTTTTTCTTGGCCAGCAGCTTTTCTGGCTGCTGCCAAGAGCTCTACAAGGCTTCTTTGAGGTCAGCCACGGATGGCCGGTGTGCAAAGGTCGTGGCCATTTTATCAAGGCCAGCTCCAATGGCCATCCTTCGCAAAGACCCCGCGTGAAAAGCGGCTTGCTTGCCATCCTTCTTCCGCACTAAGAATTTATCAGCGGCCGGGCCAAGCCGCTTTCCTCTTATTGGTGGCCGGTCTGAGCCTGAGCCGACCCAGGCTTATGCGCCTCGCCCCGTCCGCGCTCGCCTTCGCTCCCCGCTCGCCTCGCGCCGCCGGGGCTTCGCGCCAATTTCTCGCTTCCTTCTGGAAAGATCGCGCAAAATTTGCAACAAGAACAAGAAACCCGGCCCGAAGGTGTGCTGCTAACTCCGGGTGGATTGGGGCGGGCCATCTAGCCCTAAGCCTCCATCCTCTGAGCACACCCTAAACCCTAAACCCTAAGGGTTTAGGGTTTAGGGTTTAGGGTTTAGGGTTTAGGGTTTGACCTCGAAGCGGCGCGCCTCGACCCAAAGGGTCGCGGGGCGGCGCGCCGAGGCGGCTGCTTCAACCCACCCCAATGCCGCCCAGAGACAAATCATTTAGGGTTTAGGGTTTTTAATCTGAAGAATTTTGGAGCCCAGTCTGGGCAAATGATAAGGACACGCTTGAGCGCGAGAGACGCATCCGACGAAGCTCCTGGACTTGCGGGCCCCTGCGCCCCTGCTGCGGATAAGTCTTTTCCCCGTAATTCCATTTTTGGCGCCCCAAAAGACGCGCTACGTTGCCCGCCTCTCACTTGGCCGGGACGAAGTCGTCCGCCGTGACCTCGCCTCCGATCAAGCAATCTTCGTCGCGAGCGACACGGGAGAGCGCCGCATAGCCGGCCGCCTTGCAGAAAGGCCAGTCCAGCCAGATAGTGATGTGGACCAGCTCTGCGCCCTGGAACTTGTGAATCGTTCCGGCGGACCCGGACGGGGTAGTACGCCGATCGGCTGACAGGGACGTCCGTGTCTGTGTACCGATACACCGCCAGGCGCTTTCCCGTCTCTGTGAGGATTCGGAGGCAGCCGGCCCGAAGGCCTCCACGTTCACAAAGTGATTGGGCTTGTCCCGGTTGCGCGTCAAGACGACCCCGCGCGTCGTTCTCCGGGTTGTCTTCGTAGGCGCCGGGAAGCGCGCCCAGAGACGGGGCGCCCTCGTTCTCGAAGAGGACCTGCAAGGCGAAGCCGTTGATGACGGCGGCCCCGCGCCGGGAACACGTCACGAAGGTGGTTTTGCGCTCCGTCCGCTCCAGCACGCTCTGGATGTCCTCGGCCGTTGGCTTGTGGTGGCCGCTTCAGGCCTTGTGCTGCGGCAGATGCGGTTGACAAGGCGCTGGCCGTCCGCGCCCATGGCCGTCCGCTTGATCGCGCGAAGACACCAAGCCCGCAGCGCAAACGCTTGAAGTTTGCGTCCTCTCAGTATTCGCGCGCGGCGGCCACGTTGCTTGGCCGATTGACGCCGCTTCCTGAGGAGACGTGGGCGCAGCTGCTCGCGCAGGCCGGCGAGGGGTCGACGGCTGGCTGTGGCAACTTCGCCGCGAGCGAGCGGTGGAGGATAGTTCAGGCGAAGGCTGCTGCGATGTAGAGCGCTGCAGCTGAAGCAAGTTGAGTCGCAGAAGCGTTTGCCGCGTGAAAGTTGCAGCTGCACTGGCTTGAGCCCAAAGCTTCACTGCGCTAGACTGGAACGGTTGCGCGCGCTTGGGCTTCGCAAGCGGTCTTCGCGTGCGGAGCTGCTCTGCTTGAGGCCGGCGAGGGGCGCTAGGAGTTGCAGATACGTTTCCCGCTTGAGGGCGCAGCTGCGACGGTTGGAGCCCAAAGCTTTGCTCTGGGGAAGGCGAGCAAGAGGTCGGCGACGAGCTCACGGCCGTTTGCTGGCTGCGCAGAGGCTGGCAACAAGCCGTTGTCCGCTCGCTGGCTGCGTTGGAAGCGCAGCGCAAGCGGAGCAGTTAGGGGCCATCGTTCAGGGCGCGGCTTCTGCGATTTCGTCGCGAGCGTTGGGGGCCATAGCGCAGGCTACGGCCTCAACGATTTCGTCCTTGCCTTATAAGGAAAAGCTTTGCAAGGAAAACGGCCGGAACAGATTGCAAGGCCGAAAGTGCAGAATCCTTGGTGTATCAAGGATTTCTTGCCGAGTGGCAGCCCAATGGCCAATCTCCTGATTTGGGCTACGGATGCATATGACCCGTATAAAGAGTTTATCAGCGGCCATTTCCAGCCCCGACGGCCGCTTTATCAAGGCCAATTGCCATTTTACCAAGGCCTTAGCTTTTTATCAAGGCTAAGAGCAATTTTAACAAGGCTAATTGGCAAATGGCCGTTTTATCAAGACCAATGGCCGTTTTATCGAGGCCGATGGCCGTTTTATCAAGGGGAGCTTTGACGCGGTCTTCAAGGTCAGGTTAGGGTCTAGGACCTAGGTTTTAGGGTATTAAAATATTGCTTCGCATATTTTGTGCCTGCAGGCACGGTCCCAAGAGAAGGGATGGGGCAGCTGCATGGCTGCTGGCGCTTTATCGGCAATAGCCCGGAGCTATTGCCCGGGCGCTAAGCGCGCCGTGCGCTCACGACTCCATGTCGCTCTAAGCGAGCGGTTAGTCGTCGCGAGCTTTAAGTTTAGGGTTTAGGGTTTAGGGTCAATCCAAATCCCAGGATAGCAAATCACAAGGAGCGCTTCATCCACAGTTTCTGATTGAAAAACACCACCCACCCAAGCTCCCATGTCATTGGGCAGCCAAATTTTTGGCGACAAGTTGGAGCCCGTTGCCGAGCGGCTGAATCACGTGCTTTTTAATCGCAAACTATCAGCCACAGGATCTTGGATTTGGACGAAAAAAGCTTCGAAAGTAGAGTTTCTTGAATAGAAAGTTTCATAGCAAGAGTTCGACGAAGCAAGTTGAGCCGCGCTAGCAGCGCCGAGTTGAGCCGCGCGCTGGTGCTGGGTGAGAAGCGCTTCAGCAATTCCCATGGCTTGGCGATGGTTTCGAGCTCGCAGCTAGTTTGCGTTGGCGCAAATCCCACTGGCTTGGCAACGGTTTAGGTCTCGCAGCTCTCAAAATGAGCGCCGCGCCGCAACGAGAGCGATTCGACCACGCGAAACTCCGCAGAGGGTCGCGCGAGCGATTTGAAAATCGCAAGAAACCACGAGTTTTCAAGGGTCGACCAGCCCAAACTCCGCAGAGGGTCGCGCGGGCGAATTGAAAATCACAAAAAAACACGAGTTTTCGAAGAATGAGAAGCGCTTCAGAAGCAACTCCAATGGCTCGGCCACGATTTCGAGCTCGCGCTAAGAACGCTCTGGAGCAAATCCCACTGGCTCGGCAACGGTTTAAGGTTCGCAGCTTCAAGAAAATGAGCGCCGCGCCACAGCGGGAGCGATTCGACCACGCGAAACTCCGCAGAGGGTCGCGCGAGCGATTTGAAAATCGCAAACAACCACGAGTTTTCGAGGGCCGACCAGCCGAAAGTCCGCAGAGGGTCGCGCGGGCGATTTGAAAATCGCAAAAAACCACGAGTTTTCGAAGGTCGACCGGCCCAAAGTCCGCAGAGGGTCGCACGGGCGTTTTGAAAATCGCAAAAAACCACGAGTTTTTGAAGGTCGGCGGCCCAAAACCACGACAGGGCCACGAAAAACCGCTCGCCAAGTAGAGGCTCCAAAATGACGCCCCTGCCAGCAAACGAGGATCGGGAAAAAAGTTTAGGGTTTATGTGCTGACAGGGCCGACGTTTTGGAGGGCTGAAAAAGCGCTGGACACTAAACACACTTTCCTTTAGGGTTTAAATTAATATAGATAAACAAGTTTAGGGTTTAGGGTTTAGGGTTTAGGGCGTTGCCGCGAGCTCGGTCGACATTCACGCGCGGGGGCTTCGCCGCCTCCCATGCAGCCAGGGCTGCAGTAGGGTTGGCGGCGGACTCCAGACGCGACGGCCCAATCATTTGTTTGGCAGCGCTCGGCCAATAGATTGGCGCGAGCTTTTTTTTCCCCTCCCACCGCGGCGAGCGCGGGAAACCTCCCACAACATTTCCTTTTAGGGTTTTGTGCTAAATTCCCACTTCACGAACGCGCGCGCCGAGCGGCAGCGCCGGAGTCGCTCGCTCCCAGACCCGCCAAGGGTAGAAGAGGAGGCGAGGCGAGCGAAGCGAAGACGAGCGGGGGGGAAACGGGGGTCGGCGCCGGCTCTCCGCGCAGCGTCTAAGAAAGGGGCCGGGCTCAGACCGCGGCGGGCGGAAGAAAGCGCGGGGCGAGCGACGGGAAGGCGAGCGCTGCCCGCGGGGGGCGAAGACAGAAAGCGAATCAGAGCCGAGCGAAGCTGGCAGGGAAGGGCGCAACCCTAAGAGCCCCGCGGTCGTCGCCGAGGCTCGGGAAGGGCCCCCGCCTGGGTAAACAAAAACCCCGAGACCGAGGAAGCGACGGCCGCGCCAGGCCCGAGGCCATCCGGCAGGCCGCCGACCGCGGGGCCCGCGTGCTGCTGACCGCCCCGACCGGGCGACTGGCCGCCACGCTGCGGGAGCGGTTTCCGGGGCTGGAGGTGGACACCGTGCACGGGGCGTTCCTTGCCTACAAGCCTGTCCACGAGGCGCTGGAGGTCATGTGGCCCTACGACCTGATCGTCGTAGAGGAGGTGGGCCAACTGAGCCGGGAGCTTTTCGAGCGGCTCATCACTCAGTGGCGCGCGGCGGAGCGGATCCCGACCCTGGTGTTTGTCGGCGACTTCTACCAGCTGCCCGGCGTGGAGCCGACGACAGCGCTGGACTCGCCGCAGTGGCATCACGTGCAAGTCCAGAAGCGGCACCTCCACGAGATGATCCGCTGCAAGTGCCCGATCCTCCGGAAGAAGCTGGAGCTGCTGCGGACCGGCAAGCCCTCGCGGCAGCAGCTGAGAGCCATCTTGACGAGCCGGCTACGTCACGAACGAGATCCCCACGCTGGACGACGTGACCCACATCCTGGCAGAGACGCCGGAGACGACATTCCTCACCGTCAGCCGCGGCGCCAGCGCCCGCTTGAACGGCCTCGCCACGCAGGCCCTCTTCGGCGACAGCGCTCCGCTCGCCGTTGTGCCGGCCGACCCCGAGAGCAACGTGGACAACTACGTCCGCGGCAAGCTCGTGGCCGAGACGCCGCTCGAGACGCCCCTCTCGGGCGCGCGGGTGGTCCTGACCAAGAACCTCAACAAGACCGTCGGGTTCGTCAACGGCATGGGCGCCACCGTCCTGGGCATGGACAACGACAACGTGATGGTTCGAACGGACCAGGGCGCTCGCCTGGCGATCCACCCGTGGACGTCGGAGAACCACGTGGTCCGCTACCCCCTGCGCTTGGGCTACGCGAGCACGTTGCACAAGGTCCAGGGCGCCACGCTGGCCCACATCACCGTGTGGCTGGACATCCCGAACATGCCCGCCGCCGCGTACTGGAGTTCGACGCGAACTGGCGCTGCCTCGGCGACCCGGGGGTGCACCACTTCACGCCAGCTCGCTTCCACTGAAGGACCCCAGGAAGGGGGCCGCGGGGCGGGCCAAGAGAGCAAAGTTGCTTGCTAAATGCTGCTTCTCGGCGGAAGGGCGACCCCGGAGGGCTCAGAGTTTAGGGGCGACCCCGGAGGGCTAAAACCCGGGTTTTAGGGTATTGACCTTCTAGGTAAGAGCAGCTAGCGCGAGGCTCATTTGGGTGGTGTATAATGGGCATAGCCGAGGGTTGCTTCTAAGCAATCATTTGCCCCTCAAGGCGCCTCCCTCTGCAAATACGAGCCTTCGGAATAAAGCCGCCCGGCGGCGCTAGTTGTGAATATACACCACCCTAGAAATGGGTGGGAAACGGTCTAGGCAGACCGGGTGGGAATTTAGGGTTTAGGGTTTAGGGTTTAGGGTTTAGGGTCCGCCAACACAGCTTGGCGCCCAAGAGAAATTCAAATCGACTCACGAAGATGTAAAGGAGCAAATTTCCTTAGGGGGGGTCGACCCTAAGCTTTTTTAGATAAAGTGGTCTACGGGCTGCCTTGGCTTGATAAAACGGCTGTTGGGGGGCGATAAAATGGTCTACGGGCGATAAAATGGTCTACGGGCTGCCTTAGCTTGTTAAAACGTCTATTGCCCTTGATAAAACGGCCATTGGGGCGTGATAAAAGCAGCCTGTCCCAATTGCTCTTGATGAAATGGCCATTGGCGTTGATAATACGGCCATTCGCTTTGATAGAATGGCCATTGGCCTTGTACCCGAACCTGAACCCTGACCCCCGCCCAAACAACCTGAAGCCTGGCCAGAACCCTGAAGCCTCTGAAGCCTGAACCCTTGTGAACCTTCAGCCTTCAACACCCCCAAACCCCAAACCTTGCGCGGCCAAAGCCTGGCGCCCAATAGCAATTCAATTTGACTCATGAACAGCAGCGAACCACTTTACTCTTCCAAGGGGGGGGTCGACCCTAAGCCTTTTGACAAACCGGTCTTCGAGGCTCCGCGTGACCCAAAGCGGTCTTACTTCGACCAAGGAGCGGGCCAGCAGGCAGCCTTTTGAGATAAACCGATCTCCGGGCCGTCCCCGCGCCCCGCGCCTCACTCCCCGGAAACTCGCGCCCCGAGACACAAAACCCCGAAACGCAAAACCTCAGAGCCCCGAGCCCCAAAGCCCAACTCCAACCTTCGAAGCCGGGCGCCCCGAAACCTAAACCTTAAAGCCCGAAACGCCAAACCCGAATCCCGGCCCCCGGCGCCCGAACTCGCCCATTTTTGCCGGCTCTGCGCCCCGCAATTACTTGGTCCTGCACTTTGGGCAGCGCCGCTGGCGATTCGCGCCCACGGCTTGCCTCTCGATCCACTGCTTCCCGCATTTGCGACAAGAGTGGCAATCCTTCGCCCGGGAGCCGCGGGCGGCGCAATTCAAGCACCGCTGGCGGAGCGCTGGCCTCGCCCCTTGCCGCGCCTTGCGGAGGCAGGAAAGTTTTCGCAAGTTCGGCAAGCGAACCAGCCGGCGCGGCCCCACTTCGGCTGCTGCCTTGCGCTTTCCCGCAGGGGCCGCAGACAGCCGCCCAAGGCATGGTCGCCATTGCGCTGCTGAATTCGGAAACTGGCATCTCGCTTAAACAAGTCGAGCAGCTCAAACTCTCGACATCTTTCAAACACTTCAAGCAGCGGCGCCTGGCCTCGGAGTTGTCTTGCTGGAGCTGCGCCCGCGGGAAGGCGTCCTCCAACTTCCGGAGTTTGCAGCCGCGGCAATCCAAGCGCGCCAGGCCGGAGGGCAGCTTCCGCTTCAGCGTCTTCTGCTCGCCCTTGCCAGGGCCGCAGGCCAGGCAAATCGCAGATTGGTTGGCTCGGACTCGCTCCCACTGACGGTCGGAAAAGTAATCTAGCCTTCGCCTCCCTGAAGGCTTCCCAGTCTACCTCCTCCCCCCGCAGTTGTTTCAGCAGGAGCGCCGGACCCTCCGGCGCCGCGGGTGTAGAGCCAGCGCTTGAAGGGCCTGCCGCAAACGCCCCGCTTTTCTTTCCCCCACGCCCCCCCCTCTTTCCCGCACACGCCTCAAGATCAAGACATCCTCCCTGGAGCGGACCCTGCTCGCAGCCACGGTCCCGAAGGTCACGTCGGTCCGCTTGTCCACGTTGAAGTCCACCAGCGCCGCGGGGAGCGTCTTGCCCTGGCTGCCGTGGGCCGTGATCGCGTAGGCCGGGGCCAGCGGCAGCTGCGTCCGGGCGATCTTGAGGACCGGCTTCTTCCGCTTGGCGTCCAGCTTCCAGACCTTGCGGACGGGGTAGACCGGGTAGAGGCCCGGCTCCGGCGCCCCGTCGAGCTGCCAGGTCGCCCCGTCGAACTTCACGTAGATGCAGGTTGGCCGCAGGTCGTTCTCCTTCCAGACCCAGGAGTGGACGCGGCCGGCGCTACCTCGGAGGAGCTTGTCTTCGGAGCGATCGAGGTGGTCGGCCAAGTCCCGACCGCCAAGGGCAGCATGCCGGAGAGGTTCTCGGTGTCCCGGTCGTGATACTGGAGCCACCGGATCCGCGCGGTCTTGTCGCACTCCTGCGCAGGGAAGCCCCCCTCGCGCCCTGACCTTTTTCTCCCGCTTCCCCCCGCACCTGCGTCTGCAGAACCTCGGCGGACGGCGCGTCCAGGGCCACAGACCAGCGGAGCGGCGACTCGGCCGCGCGGCTGTAGTCCTTGGCGCGGCCCTTGTTGATCTGGTATTTGGCGTCGTTGTTGGAGACAATGGCCGCCGCCCACCTGAACTTTTCCCAAGCGCGGGTCGCCCGGCCCCGCAATGACCGGCGCGGGAGTCGCGCTCTGCCGCGGTCAACCGGCAGCCTTCGACGGGCTTGCCGTGGAGGTAGCGCCAGTCGCCGCGCCGCAGCTCGTCCACGACCTTGTTCCACCAGGCGTCCTTGCAGCGCTCCTCCAGCTCCGTCACACCCTGCAGGGCGCCGCCCCACACTAGGTCCGCCAGGATGTCGGGCTCGGCGTCGGCGGCCGCGCTCAGCCGCGGCGGCCGCCGGCTGCTGCTAAGACCAGCCGCAGGAGTTACAGACAAGATATAGAGGTTACACAAATTTAACGGAACTTGCATCTACTTATAACTAACTTCGCAACAGATACAAACAGTTATCCGCAGGTAGTAAGTTCGCAAAAAAAGATACACAAAGTTAGAAAAACTTAGAAAAAGTTATAAAAACTTACAAAAAGTTACAAAAAGTTACAAAAAGTTATCGGAGAGCAAAAATCACACGTTGTGGTCAGCACATAATTGCAGAAAACAAGCAGCGCCTAGATACGAAAGCGGTCGAAAAAAGAGTAAAATCTTTCAAGGATCCGCCAATGAACGCTGTCAAAACTCTCTAGCCGCTCAAGACTCTCCACGCTGTCGAAACTCTCCGAAACTCTCCAGCCGCACATTTTTTTCAAGACAGCCATCGTCGAGTCCGTCAAACCAACACGAGCAAGTTGCCATCCACCTCTCTCCAATAGGCAGGGCAAAGCCATTTACAGGAGTTCAGCTGACGCCACGCCTTACAGCTTGTGGGCTCGAAAGAAAGCACGCCTGGCATCTCTTGAACCACGCGTCGAAAAACCGCACCTAGACATTCAATCACTTCGGCCAACCAAATGTTTGCAGTAAACAAGCCACTTGAGAGTTTTGAGGGTTCGAGAGTTTAGTTGATGACAAGAGTTTATTGGCCCTAGACTCAGAAACATATTCTATTCAGCTTTTTGTTTCTGAATTTATTCAGAATTTTTCTGAACTCAGTAAATGGAAGCAAGTACTGGGCAAGCCTCAAATTCAGAATTTTTCTGAATTTATTCAGAATTTTTTCTGAACTTCTGTAAATGGAAACACGTACTGGGCAAGCCTCAATTTCAGAATTTCTGTATTTATTTCAGAATTTTTCTGAACTTCAGTAAATGGAAACAAGTTAATGGGCCAAGCCTCAATTCAGATTTTTTTCTGAATTTACTCCAGAAATTGTTCTGAACTCAGTAAATGGAAGCAAGTACTGGGCAAGCCTCAAATTCAGAATTTTTCTGAATTTATTCAGAATTTTTCTGAACTCAGTAAATGGAAACAAGTACTGGGCAAGCCTCAAATTCAGAATTTTTCTGAATTTATTCAGATTTTTTCTGAACTCAGTAAATGGAAACAAGTACTGGGCAAGCCTCAAATTCAGAATTTTTCTGAATTTATTCAGAATTTTCTGAATTTATTCAGAATTTTTCTGAACTCAGTAAATGGAAACAAGTACTAGGCAAGCCTCAAATTCAGAATTTTTCTGAATTTATTCAGAATTTTCTGAATTTATTCAGAATTTTTCTGAACTCAGTAAATGGAAACAAGTACTAGGCAAGCCTCAAATTCAGAATTTTTCTGAATTTATTCAGATTTTTTCTGAACTCAGTAAATGGAAACAAGTACTAGGCAAGCCTCAAATTCAGAATTTTTCTGAATTTATTCAGAATTTTCTGAATTTATTAGTACTGTAGACAAGCCAGTATTTCATAACCAATGGATCCCCTCAAACCCTTCTGACCAAAACTCTCTATCTCTCAAATCTCAATCCCTGTAGCTCTCAAATGAGTTGTGCACGTCAAGCTCTCACCACTCTCGATGTCATGCAAATGTTTCTGCTGGAGTTTGGTGTGTTTGAGAGTTTCTGAATTTGAATCTTGAACAACTTCCTTGCTTGCAGATTCACTGACGCTCGAGTCACACACCATGCAAATGTTTCTTGAGAGTTTGGAGAGTTTAAGAGTTTATGAACTTGACTGACCAGCTTCTTGACTTGCAGATTCATCGACGATGCGCGCGGCTCAGATCTAATTTTTGCTCGTAGGGTATCCCGTCCTGGCAAGGCTATGGATCGTACAATTCCGTTGTCTGATGGGACGGTGGATGGGTATAGCCCTCAGTGGCAGAGGCTGATATGGATCAAGATCATCGAGATGGAGAATGCCCTTCGAACAGCTGATAGCAAAATCAAGAAGTTGGAGAAAAAGGTGAAGGTGTTGGTCTACAAGCTGAAAAAGAAGAAATTGCGTTTGAGAGGTGCTAGGCTTGCGCTAGTATGAGCCAGCTTCGATCCAAAAATACTTCATGTGCTTACTTGAGAGTTTCGTTGCTGATTTGAGAGTTTAGTTGCTGACTTGAGAGTTTATAGAGAGTTTGTGAACCTCTCAAGTTTTGTGGCATTGACTGACTCTCAAACCAGCCCTCAAACAAACTCTCAATCAAACTCTCAAACTCTCAAGGCTCTTATCCCACTCTCAACCCTGAAAACTTTCATAAGCTCTCACGACGTTCCAGGTTCTTATCAAACTCTCAAACCCTGAAAACTCTCATAAACTCTCAAACCTTCAGACCACTCTTAAACTCTCAAGACTTTCCAGGTTCTCATGCATCAACTCTTAAACCATGAAAACTCTCATGAGCTCTCAAACCCTCAAAACTCTCCAAGCAAAACCTGCGTGATGAGACAAAGGATCCTTTCATTTGAGCCGCTTTTTTGCACTCTCGCCAAGCAACGACGTAAGCCCGCTATAGCACCATGATGGCTCAAACTCTCAACACCTCTCTCACAAAATCGCAGCCGAGGCCAACGCTGGCTGCACCCATTTTGCGCAAAACTCTCATCAGGTTGCTACGAAAACATTGCGACATGCAAAGCACAGTATACGTGGCGATCAACGAAAACCGACCTGAAAAAAACACGAAAAAGTTATAAAAAGTTATCAAAACTTATCAAGAGTTACACACACTTAACTTGACTTAAAAATCCACTATCGAGACTTATATCTAGATGTGAAAACTTAATAAAAACTTACCATAACTTAAAAACAAATAGCAAGTCCAATAAACGATTATATGTCCCCGCAAGTGTTGGAAATGACTATGCCCGAGTTGACCTAGTTGCCGAGCACTTGCCGAGCGCTTGCCGCCCGGTTGCCGCCTACTTGCTAACTGCTATAACTTGTCGGCAATCGCCGCGGCTGGTCTTAGTGGGCACGTCCGCGAGGTAGCCGCCGCTCGGCGGCGGCAGCTGGTAGAAGTCGCCGAGCAGCAGCACGTTGACGCCCGCGAAGGCCCGCGAATCCCCGGCCGCGTTGCGCTTCCACTGGCTGGCCGACGGGACGACCGCCCGCAGCCGCTGCTCGACCTGTCGATCGCGCAAACAGAAGGGCGGGGCGCAAGCGAGACCGGCCTCCCCCCCCGCACGCCTGCGCCAGCAGCCGCGCGTTGACCATGCTGACCTCGTCGACGACGAGCCATCTCCAGTAGCTCATTCTCTTCGCCGCCTCCTGGCCCACGGCGCAGTCCAGCGCGGCCGCGTCCACGCCAAGGCCGCAGGCGTTGTGGAGGGTCCGGCCGCGAATGTCGGCCGCGTTGACGGCCTGGAACACCCTGGAACGCCGCAACCTGCGGGGCGGCGACCCCAGCAGGGCAAGAGAGCCGACCGCAATTTCGCCCGCGCGCCTCGAAGTCGATCCCCTGCGCGTAGCCAAGCTGCTCCTCGAACAACTCCCGCAGGAACTTCAGGACGTGGGACTTCCCAGTGCCCGGCGGGCCGTGCAGCAGCCAGGCCAGCGGCTCGGCTCGCCGCAGAGCGATCTCGTGGTCCGGCGGCACCAGCTCCAGCTCGACCAGAACCCTTTCCACCACCACCCGCAGCATCTCCCATTGCGTGGAGTTCAGACCGCTCCGGACGCGCTCGCTGCCCAGCCAGTCCAACAGCGCGTCTGCGGTCACGGGCGGGCCGAGCGGCTGCGCCTCGGGATCCCGCCCGGCTTGGCCGACGCCCGCAAAGGACGGAAGTCTGCTCTTGCTCCGCGAGCGCGGGCGCCCAGGCGAGCGCGTTGGTCAAGCTGCTCGTTTTGCGCTGCGCGCCTTGGCCGGGCGAGGCGTCGGCCCCGCTCTTCCTCCACGCGGCCCGGGACAAGTCGAACATCTGCTTGGTCATGACGCACAGCCGCGTCGCCGCGGCCGCGTCCTCCTGCTCACTGTCTTGTTCGTCAAAGTTCTCGGAGCCCAGCTTGCCCGCGCCGCGGACGTGCGTGGCCCGAGCCGCCTCCAAGTCCGCCTTGTCGAAGCGCACGCCCTCGTCCTGGACCTCGTTGTCGCTGTTCTCTTGCAAGTGCTGTTCCGGCCGGAGCTCCCGCGGCAGGCAGTAGACGAAGCAAAAGTTCAGCGCGAACTGCTTGACCTCTTCGGTCGGGAAGCCTTGGAGAATCAGCCGCCGTCGGAGGGCGCGGCGCCAGTCTGACTTGCCGAACTTGCAGAGGTCGGCGAGGAAGGGCGCGGCGGCCGAGGCGTCGTCGGGGTGGCTCGTCCAAGGGCAGAAGAGCAGCAGCACCCGCTTCGCGTAGTCCTCCTCCGAGCGACCGCCAAGCGCGCCCTGGACAACCGGGACGTGGGGCCTCGCAAGGGAACCGCGGCCGCCCGCGCCCTCTCCCCCCTCCCTGTGAATTCTCTCGCAGCCCCCGCGCCGCGAGCGCCGCGCGCCTCCTCCTCCCCCCCGCCCCCTCGCCTGCCCCGGCGCGCAAGGATCCAATCGTGTCTGAACTGCTGGGCGAGCGCTCCATGCCCTAGCGGCAGCCAGTCTTCCCCGCCTTCCTCGTGGATCTCGTAGTCCGCCCCGGGCAGCAAGACGGCTTTGGGGTTTGCGCCAAGCTTCGCCGCCCCAGCCCGCGTCAGCGAGGCGTGAAAACCTTCGTCGCGCCGCTCGCTCAGCTGCTGGCCAGCTTGAAGAGGAAGTGGCGCGCGAACTCGAAGGCGCAGAGGTCGCGGACTTCGGCGGCTCGCCCCCGCGCCCCGTAGAAGGTCCAGAACGGGCAGGAGACCACGCGCCCTCGCTGAGCCGCCGGCCGCGCGTCTGTCCGCAGCTGTCGCGGCTCAGCCGGCCAAGCTTCGCCGGCGGCCGCCGCCTCCAGGAGTTGGAGGCCGAACTGCAAGGAGATGGAGTGGACGGGCGCTGAGAGACTCGGCCGCCGTGGGGTCGTTGCCCGCCTGGCGCGTGGTCAAATTGGCGCACTCCACCGCGCCGCGGCAGACGCCGCGGGCGTAGCAGTCCGTGGTCAGCCGCTTGGCCACCCTCGCCCCGATGTAGCCGGCGGGCTTGTCCTTCAAGTCTTCGCCAAGCTCCCGATGGCCGCGCTGCCACTCCTTGAGCTCTTGCACGGCGATGGGCAGCCGCTTGTTCATGTAGTCGCAGCCGTAGCCAGCTTGGGCGGCCTGCGCGACACGAGAGCAAACAGAGCCGGGCAAAACCGCGGCCACTTCCCGCCCGGCCTGGGTCCTCGCCGACGCAGGTCTCCTCCTGGCAGAGCGCGTCGTCGTGGGTCTCCTTCGTCACGGGGAACCGATAAGGCACTTGGAGGTCGCCGTTGCAGCGCAGCGCCGCCAGCAGCGCCGGGTGGTTGCCGTTGAGGTTCGGGTCGTTGACCGGGCCCCACTGCAGGCCCAAAGAACTCCGCTTGCCCTTGACGGGCAGGTCCAGCTGCTCGGCCAAGCCGCGGCAGACCAGAGCCGTTCGGGGCCGCCGCTCGCCGCCTGGGCCGGCAGGGAGATGCACATGATGTTGCTTGCGCTGCTGCAGCTGCTCCACGTCCTCCGCCAAGTATCGTTGCGTCCACTCCTCGGGCCGCAGCCGGCGGCTCGCCTGGTAGGCCGGCCGGCTCAACATCAAGGCGCAGTCCTTGTACTCCGGCCACTCCTCCTCCGCGGCGGCCCGATCGCGCTCCCAGCCGTCCGGGTCGCAGTAGACGGAGCGCCGGACATGGGCAGTGTAGGAAGCATACCTTTGCAGCAAGGTTCGGAGCTCGGGCTTACCCAAGTCAAGGAGGCCGGCCAGCGACCCGCGCTGATGGCGGCACTGGACGAACACTTGCATGTGGGCGTGGAGGGCTCCGCTCTTTTGACACTCGATGGAGCCAAACACCGCGTCAACTCTGCCCAGCACGCCGCCGCCGGCCACGGCGTTGCTCCCGAACGCGTCGCTGCAAGGCTGCCCCGAAGTCGCGCAGTTCGGGCAGCGCGGGCAGAACCTGACCCCCAAGAGGTGGCGCAGCGTCAGGAGCACCAGCGTCCTGGGGCCGGAAGTCGAAGCAGCGCGGTTTCTCGGAAAGGGGCAAAAAAAAGGCGCCGAAGCAAAACTCCCGGCTTCAGCGGCGAGCCCGGCGCCTCTCACGCCTGCTCCGGCGGCTGCTGTCGTCTTCTTGGGCCGCGGTGTTTCAAAGGCGACGGCGAAGTAGAGGGGCTGGAACTGGTCCAGAAGCTGGTTGCCGGCCCTGACCTCTAACTTGTCCAGTTCTCGCTTCTCGACCTCCGCCTCTACTTAAAGGGGCGTGGGGGTTAGTATCTATTTAGCCTACTCACTATGTACATAGCCAACATGCAAAAGAACTTACAGCACATGGCAAATTACATAGCAAAGTTACACAAATTGATTTATCGCACTTAGGCAAATGTACTTACAAGACTTACGACGTAAGGAAGGAACGCAGCCATAACCATGCACGGGGCAATGGCTGCAGCTGCCAAAAGCAAAATTATATTTGAAAGAAGACAAAAACAAGTCCTTCGCGATGCCAAAATGGCATGATCGAATGATGCGCACACACCACGCAGCGCTTCAAGTCTTCACGCAAGGGCCTCAAGTCTGCATGCAGTGCCTCGTGTCTTCATGCAAGGGCGGCAAGTCTGCACGCAACACCTTATATACAAGTTATAAAGGGCCTCAAGTCTGCATGCAGGGCCTGGGGCTCGCAAACATGTTTAGCACGCACACGCAACTTTACAATGAAGAGCGAAGGCTGGGGAACAAAGAGGATCAAACTGCCCCAATGAAACCTCACTTAGTATTTACTTTATCAACTTTGACTAAAAAGACTCGCCCCTTGCTTGCGCATGCGTGCGCAGGCTCGAGCAGGCAAGCTCGCAGGGCCGCTGGCTCGCAACAGTTTTGCACGGTTGCAGCGTACCTTGCAATCATGCAGAACACGCACGAA